ATGAATTCCATGTTGTACGAGTCACTTAGATTTTACAAATACGTGTGCCGGGCTGTGAACGGCTCACGTATTTGTAAAATCTAAGTGACTCGTACAACATGGAATTCATATAAAACGGAATAATCAACAGTGTTATGAAGGGTCGACTGTATTTAAAATAAAGTTTAAGCATTATCTATTACTATTTAATTATATAAATTTAAATACAATATATTTTGATTTTGTAAAATTAAATGCCGTAAATTAATTAAAAACTACATATCATGCATACAATCTTCCAGCAAATATGTATTTAATGAAAATACATATATGCTGGAAGATTGTATGCATGGTATGTAGTTTTTAATTTATCTACATTCCAGGAAACCAATTTTTAATACTATAAAACGTTTTTCAAAACTAATGTTATCATCAGATCACATTAAAAATTAATCTTGGATTAATGGGGCAGTTCCTAATGTATATTCAATCAAACATTAGTTTTTAATGTGATCTGATGATGATACAAGTTTATTCTCAAAAAATATTTTATAGTATTAAAAATTGCATTCCTAGAACTTTTGGTGTCATATATGTTTTTAAAGTTGAACATTTATTTATTTGTGCATACTAATCAAGTTATTACTTTCCCGGTTGTTATAAGAGGGAAAGTATGGCGATTTGGCAAAAGTTTCTCCGGATTTTTACACTTTTGGACTTAGGACACCTTGAAACAAGGAGAAATGCAAAAAAAATTTGGGGGTAATTATTTTTGTGTGTATGGATGTTAGTGTGTGTATGTGTTGGGCTTGATTTTGTTCATCCTCTTTGAAGCTTAATAACGCCTATGCTCTTTGTCGAAAATTTCTGAACTTTTGCACATAGGTTTGTTTATTAGGGACATTGATGCTGTTAAATTTTGGTGGTTAAAGGTCGAGGAGGTAGAGAGATACAGGGGGTCGTATGATGTATCTCCAGTAGGATCAGACTTAATGACAATTTTACTCGTTATTAACAAACATCAAAAAAAAACCTTTAAAATCCAGTAACACAAAATAAGACGTTTAATGTGTTACTGAATTTTAAAGGTTTTTTGGTGTTTGTCATTACTTCCAGTTAGTGAGTAAGAAGATATCTTTAGTTATTATTAGCATTTACAATTTTTTATAAAAACCATCCCTATCCTCAAAATTAAGCTTTTATATTATTAATTATTATAAAATGTCAAAAAGTTATGAGATTTTATTTAAAAAAATAACATCTGGGAAAGTTATGCAACTCATTTTAGATTTTTCATTGGTGTATGTTGTGCTATGTATGCTTTCATGAGTGACATGTTCAGATACTGTCAATGAGTGTTTGATTGTTTTTTCCTATGTAATCTAGTGTTTGTATTATCTGTTCTGCAACTTGTTTGGTATGTTCAAGTATTGTTTGTGGGAGGTTGTTGTTTTTAATTTTTTTTCTGATCAACAACCCTCTTCTATGTAACAATAAGATATGGATATTTTTGTGAATTTGTCATATAGTATGCTTGTATGCTAGCATGTCTGTTTCAATTTTTGTATGTATCAAGTATAAATGATGAATTTGTCTTGAATACACTTCATCTATTTGCACGATTTTTTGGCCTTGGTAGTTAGTGTCTGGATTGTCACATGAAGCACTTTAGCTGAGTTAAATTAATATGTATCCATTGTATCACAAATACATTCACTGATACACCCATACACAAGTATGGATTTATCAGTGAATCAACTGTGAATCAGGGTACAATGCCAACAACAGTAATTGATCTAACTAATGTTTCCTGTCAGAATGAAAAGCAATTTCCACAGCAACATTCCAGTACCTAGTTCAAAGTCTTCCCCAAAGAGTGGAAGCTATGATGGAAGCAAACCCTTAGTTGGGCCAACCTAGAGTGGACCAACCCCTTATTAATTATCATCCCACAAGGGAAACTGTTCATGATCAGGTGTCCAAATACTTCTGGTTAGATAGTGTGTATATTTAAGTATGAGGCGTGTCCGGAAAGTAAGTACTGTTTCGTTTTACCGCTACCGCAGCAGTAGTATCGCAGTTCAGCACCTGTGCTCACGTGTCTCTGGTTGATTGTCAGTCCAGTGACGCCATTAGAGCCAGATTGTGATGTTTTTCCATGTGTTAGTGAGCATTCAAAATGTATAAGACGATTGCCGATCCCGCCGACTGTGAAGTGCGTTCTGTAATACGGTTTTTGAATGCAAAGAATGTTAAGCCAGTTGAAATTTGTTGTCAACTTGTAGAGATTTATGGTGAAAATGTAATGAGTGATGGAATTGTGAGAAAGTGGGTTCAACAACTCAATCCTGGATGCACCAATGTTCATGACGAAGCATGGAGTGGCCGGCCTTCTGTTGTCAATGCTGATTTGGTTGCAAAAGTGAATGAGAAAATTCTTGAAAACAGACGGTTCACAATAAGATTGCTTTGTGATGAGTTTCCACAAATTTCAAAAACTGTTTTGCATGAGATTGTCACAAATCAATGTTCAGCAGTGGCTGTCTTCACTGGCGGCATCTTTCTTTGAAGAGGGTATAGACAAGTTGGTTTCCCAATATGACAAATGTCTGAACAATGGTGGTAACTATGTAGAAAAATAGTTTCCAACATGCTCTTCCATGTAAAAATAAATTTTGTTTTGAAAAAAAATTTTTTATGTGAGTTTTTCCAAAACGGTACTTACTTTCCGGACACACCTTGTATCTTTCCTGATGCATTTCATATTTGTGAGAGATTTTAGAATTTTAATCTATTCTTAAAATATAAATTTATTTAATTTTTATAAAAGTTTTTAATTTTATTAAAAATGACTAAGAATATGTATTAAAAAAAAAAAACCTAAAAACTGTTTATAAATAATCCCAAATCTTTTTCGTCTTTGCAACATATATCAGGTACACTAAAAATATAAATACTGTAGTATCTGATAAATCAATTTTCTACTTCTCTTACATGTTTGATTATTCCTTCTATGGGACTATTTTTCTTGCTTCTTCCTATCTATGCTTATTTTTCTATTCTCCTACTTCTTTCCTTCTTTTTTCTTAAGATAGATTCATTTCTCTTCCTTTCTATCTGATCTTTCTTGTTTCAGTTCTCCCATCTCTTCTTGTGGATTTCTTGCATTTCATAATTATTTAATCTCTTATATATTTTTCATTACTATATATAATATTGAATATTTATTATGTATATTTCAGTTATATTTCTTTTCAACACTATTAGTTTTTATTAATATTATTGTTTACAAAATCTAGAAGACTTCTTAAAAACTCTTAATTTCTTTTATAAAAATGAAACTTCCAAATAATTTTATCCAGAATAGACCTTTCTATAAGATAATACATATTAAAAAGAAATTGTGTTTTGTAGGTTTTGAGCTAACTGTAGAGATGCCGACCATCCTCCATTTTGGAAGCATAGTCCTCCAGTGAACTATTGTCCTCTCGTTCTCCTTTTATCAATAATGTCCTCATTTTGAGTAGACATACAATTGTTTGATTTTGTTTAAATTTACATTATCCTCTCTAAAATATTATCAACAGATTACATTTTCCATTTCAATATTTTATTTTCTTATTCTAAAGCAGTGAGTTTCAACTTGTGTCCCATGAAATCAATTCATAGGTGTGCTGCAAGATTTCGATGTAAAAGAACAAAAATTGGAGTTATGATGTTTATATTACACTGAATAGAATTGTTAAGTGTGATAAAATTTCTGATTATACAGTATCAGTATACATAGTTATTATACCTGTTATTATAGACATGGTTTGTTCTATGTTTTTATGGATTCCTCCAGTAATGTAACAATTAACATACGCACTGCACTTACACCGGAGCACATGACTACTTTATTTTTTAAGCAGGAATTGCATCAAGTTGACTGCTTTGTTTTAAGCTTTTGTGAGATTTCTGATACCATTTTTTATTCTGAAATTATGGTCATCGAATAAAAAATTATGGTTATATCTTTTATTTCTGCAATTTTTCTTGTTTCTAATGATATAAAAAATTTGTGGATTGACAAAATGAAGTGTTTATGTTTAATTTTTTTGTAATTTGATCTGAAAAAGTCAAAAATTAAATAGTGTCTCATTGATAAAAAAAATAATATATACATTTATGTTACATGTGTGTTTATTTGAAAAATGAATATATAATTACTGTCACAAAATAACTTTGATTATCCCATTACATTTCATTACAAGGTAACATAAATAAATAGGTTTCAAAAAGTGGGTTGTTGAGGGACTTTCATCTTTTTTTGAAACAGTTGATGTATTTCTTAATACTTGAATGGTGTGTAATTCAGCTGTAATTTCAAAAATTGTAGACCTGTAAATTCCCTCTGGCATCCATCTGTCTGTCCTTCCTTAATTAATCTCGAGAATGCAGTTAGATAGATGAAACTTGAGATCAGATTGGAAAGCTTAGGAGCAGACAGTCCCAGTTTGCACTTATATAAACTTCTGGTTTGCACAGGAAGTCATGTTGTTATTTCAACTCAAAAATTTTCTCCTGAATGGAGTTAGATAGATGACCAGTATGACTCTATTGTTAATTAACAGGAAAAGTATGATGTACAGAGGCAAGACACTATTAAAATTGAGAAAGTTGTGATGAAAAATTGCAGCCCAGCATTGTGACAATGTTACAATAAATAACTGCTCATTAGTTTTAGTATGCTATAAGGTACAAAAGGTTGAAAACCACTAAAGTAATAGTTTTATGAAGATGATTTACTAGCCACTGTGGTAACTCCCACTATTAAAGATGCATTAAGTAATCAAGTAGTAGTTTTGTCCTTATCACTCACTTTACAGAAAAAGAAAGACACTACTATTAATTAGAATCAGACACAAATGGCATTGTGAAACAGTCAGTAATAATTCTAACATTGAGTTTAAAACTATAAAAAAACATTAAGTATATAAGAAATAATTTACAGTTAGTCAACAAATATTTATAACAAGCTACTTTGTTATAAATGTCCTCTGTTGTACAATGTCTGTGCAATGTCCTCCTTTTTTTTTTACAAGAAAGTTGGCAACTCTTGTTAACAGTCATTTGGCCTAAATCCCAGATACAAAAAAATCTCTGTAATTTAGTCTTTTATGTAAAAATCATAAATTAAAAATTTTTGATATAAGTAGTGAAAAAAAATCTGTTTTTATTTGTTTTATTATTATTATTCGCATATTTTTACGACATTTGGAAAGAGGCGGAGGTCCACATTTGTGAATGGTCTGGGTCTACTCTTACTGCTCTCATCCAGAGGCAGATGGGGGAAAAGGAAAATTTTCAGAGGCACCAATAGGACTGCTGACCTTTTATATTCATAAGTGCCAGTGCCAGCCTATAGACTGGCACTGACAATATATGTTGCTTGAACAAGTTCCATTTGCCCATATTCTCCTCTTTTCATACAATTTTTCTTTCATAAAGGCCTCTTTCTAGTTGAAAATATTTTAAGGTATAACTATTATTTTTGTAAATATCTCTTAAGCTTTTGGTTTGTAAATATCTCTTAGGCTGTGTACACACTAGGTGTTTTTAAATGTGCGTTTTAAAGAACCAAGAGTTCTACTAAAGTGCCCAAAAAACGCACATTTTAAGAAAAATCTATAAACGCGCGTTTAACGCGCGCTTGGCCAAAAGCGCACGTTTGAGTGTGTACGCCTATGTAGAACTCTTGGTTCTTTAAAATGCCTAGTTTGTACGCAGCCTTAAGCTTAAAGTTCAACAATATCAAAAAAAAACTTCCTGTAAGTTTTTATCTTTTCAAAATAAATATACATATTGATGATACAATGCATAGAGAATAAAAATTTTTATAAATGATATAAATGAAATATATGATTTTAATACAATGAAAAAGCTATAAATAAAAGTGCAGTAATACATTTTAATTGCATCATTTAAATTTGTTTCTATGATTTAAATTGTAAATTTATTGTAATTAAAATATCATATAACTTGTGAAATATAAATGTTTTGATGTTTTTTAAATTAATTATGTATTTTTATTTTACAGATATATGTTAAAATTTCTCAACAAAGTATATTAATTTGGTCAAATTCATATGGACAAGTCCACAGCATGTTTTTCTGCAACATTTTCTGAAGATGTTGCAAATGGAAAAGAAACAGTAATTCATTATTTTAACATTTTATATAAATTAAATTATTATAGCTAATATTAAAAATTACTTAATTTATTTCTTATATTAAGTATTAATGATTACTTTAAGTACTTTTAATAGTAGTAATAACATTGTTATAATGTAGTGTTGCCACCTTTACAAAATTGCTGACCCGGATGGCAGGTCAGGTTTGTTCGAACAGAAGTTCCTGACGGATGCGCAATGTCATTTTGCAATGCGAAGAATAACGTGCATGCCGGTTATAAATCAGTTACAGTTAGGGAGTAGGGAGACTTGGGTAGGAGTAACGTATGTAACCTAAATTAAGAAAGAAGAAATACAGATGACGACTTAGCTGTATTCGATATTGGAGATGTGTATGATTCATACAAATAGAAGCTTAAAAAAAAGGTCAACAGGTTGCGCACGAAATTCCCGGGTGAAAACCGGACGGGTGGTAACACTATTATAATGTTATTGTCTATATACAGATTTTACACATACAAAGAAATAAAAAACAGTGAACTTTAAAGAACAAATTTAAAAATCTGTTTTATTGGAGCTCAGAAACTTGTGTCAGATATCATTTTCTCAAGTACTTCTAGCAATTTAAAGTCTATGAATTTAGAGACTGGAGTTTAATTCATTATTTGAATTACAAAATATTAATGGGAAGTATTAACCCACGGCTGTTCTGGGTTAACTGGTATTTACTAATTAGTATTTAATTTATTATAAATAAACTAGTAAATAATAAATTCAGTTGCAGATACAGAAATACATAACAGTTGTAAAAATGGAGAATTAACAATTCGCCATTTTTCAAAGAAACTCGAATTTATCCAAACACAACACTAACAACTTGAAATGAAGCTTGTTCAAAACAGAAAATTGCAAGGAGTAGGCGTACATCTTATATTCATTTACAAGTCAGTGTAAATTTTGTCACAGCTGTGACACCTCAACTCCCAGGTAAACAGAATGTCTTCAATTTCCTTTAATTATAAGTATATTAAACAATCTGAAGCCCAATAATATATAGATACATAACCCAAACGATCACCTTAAATACTCAAGCTATAAATCTGCAATTTTTAATAATTAATACGAAGTAATTTATAATAATTTCTTTAATTCACGGTTAGTGTTTTTTGTTATTGGAAACTTTGCAAAAACATAATAAATGTATATTGTAAATTGGATGAGAGAGCAATTATAACGGAACATTAAGAGGATAAAAACACACAAGTAAATTACTAAAGACAGCAAAAAATAAATAATTTAGTAATGGAAAAATGTAACCCACCTTTTCCTCAAAAAATTTAAAAAATTCTTTAATAAATTCATGATTAGAACTTAGAAATGGCTATGGGATATACATTTAATAGTGTAAAGATTGTTGACTGGGGAAGGGGTATCAGTTAGACTCAAGTCAAGATGTTTCAGGGGTTTACAACGTTATGTGGGCAGTAGTGGACATGCTGACTCGGGCATCGTTACTATTATAACCCGTTTATTAAAGTTTGTAAACTGGCAGCTTACAAAATTGAGGGGAGATGCTCCTTCTCAGTCAAGGATCGCAAGGTAGAAAATGTCCAAAGCTTTCTGTTGCAGGTTTTCCTTTGACATTTCCTTGGCAGCCCTGGGGCAGTGTCATGGTTAAATTCAGCAGATATAGGACAATGATCAATGATGGATTCAAGTCAGGAACTANCTTTCCGAACAACCCAATATTTCATACTTTCTAAAGTTATATTAGCATGAACATATTTATACAGATGATAAACATTGTGTTTTATTATTGTGTGGAATGCATTGTTAATGTGAGAATTATGTTTTACCAGCAGATTTTAGTTCATTTTTCTTTTACACTTAAAAGTTAACAATAATCTAAACAGATTCAAATGGCAAAATATCAAAGAAAATGAAAGCAGTGTTCCTTCACAACAAAATTAAAATACAATCTAGTATTTTAATTTTGTCGTAAAGGAACACTTTACAGGAATAAAAATCACCAGCTATAGTTACTCAATCCTTTGTGGTAAATGAATCAACTTTATATTAATTAAGAAAAATAAGATAGAAATTAGAAATGAAGGAATATATTGTTTTTTCCATGAAACAAAAATTGCAAAGCTTGCAAAAGATCCCATTATTGGAAAAAGTCTTAGGTATTGGGACTTCGAAGATCAATCTGAATAGAATGTTGGTTAGCTATGAAAAAGTAAAATGCCTGATTGATCAAGAAGTGCAAGAAATAGCAAAGAAAAACTGAGTTTCAAATTCATACAATGTTTCTGAAAGATGGTTTTTGAATATTTTAAGAAAAAGAATGCTTTGTGTAATGTAACAATTATAGGTAAGAAGTATAAGATTTGAGAGAGGGGGGGAATTGAGGAATGCATATTATGTTACTGGAAACTGTTGCATTATTTTCAAAGAAAGGTAAGATATGAAAATTATGCATTTTTTAAAAGAACAAAAAGAATAAATATGTGCAAGCTATACATATTACTTTAATTAAACTTTTACTATGAAGTAAAACAAATGAAAAATTTCTTTATATGAAAAATATGTTTATTTTCGAATCGTGAATATTTTCAATTCCGTAATCTCATTATTTTTCTTTTGTGTGTTTCCATATTTGTGTAAATTTTTCAGAGCATAACTGTCACAAATATGGAGTTTCTATTGTACTGTACATATAAAATAAAATGTGTTTCAGTAAATTTTCAAAATAAATTATTTAAAATTTTAATCATACTCATTAAATATTTATAACTGATAATGCCAGTCATTGACTTAAATTATATTAGAAGTGTAACATGTATCTATTTGAGATGTAATATGTATTGTATTTGAACTGTAAAATATCATTAGTGGGTCCACCAGGTGGCAATCGTTGCTGATACATCATGGGAACAGTACCTGAGCACTCACTTTGGATATAGCTACTGGACAATAAACATAACATGACGTACTTGAGAAACGTTTAGAGAAAGACAAAAGATTCTCCCATACTGGATTCGACATGTCTGTTCCGTTTACGTTTCAAAATCTTCCTCCTCCCAAATCGATGTTGGTAGGTGATTTGGGAGCAAATTGGAAGAAATTCAAGAAAGTTATCTACTTTATTTGAAGGTGACTTACATAATTTTTAGCAGACTTACATAAGCTATCAATAAATTGTGAGTTTGGGAATTTATGGGATCAACTATTAAGAGATAGAATTGTGAGTGGTATTCGTGATCAGAAGATAAAGGAACATCTACTATGAGAAACAGAGCTATCATTAACAAAGGCAATTGACGTATGCAGAGCCTCTGAACAGACAGAGCTGCATTAAACTCTTGTCGAATCAACCAAAGAATATAGAAGTCAACGTGATAAAAGGAAAATCAAGAGAACGTCTCAGTGAATCACGTGATCATGAAAATAGGTCTAGTGCAGAAACAAAGGACCATCAGCCAGAGAACAATTGACGCAAATATCGAAGACTGGAAAATAAGTTCCAAGGAAGACAATGGAATTGTGGGAGATGTGGTTATAGACATAATAAACTGAACTGTCCAGCAATGGGCAAACAATATAATAAATGCAAGAAATACAATCATTTTGTGAAAGTGTGTCGAAATAACGTGGTAAATGTACTGGAAATGGCGCCAGAGAGTACAAATGACTATGTACTGGCATCACTGGAAAGCAGGGGTAAGAACCTTGATCTAGACTGGTCAGAGACTTTAAGAATTTTAGATTGTGATAAAAGTGTTAGTTTTAAGAGAGATACTAGTGCACACATTAATATAATCCCCGTATATATTTTTGAGACTCTTAATCTAAGAAGACTGCTAAAGAAAACAAATATTACGATTTCAAATTATGGTGGAATTAGATTAAAGGTGTTAGGATCTTGTGATTTAACAGTACAAACTAAGGATAAGGTCAAGGAACTTTTGAATTTTATAATAGTCAAGACAACTGACCAAGCAGCACCTATTTTAGGACTCAAGAGTATTGAAAAACTAAATATACTGCAGAGAAATTGAAATGTATTAGAAATAAAAATGGAAAGTGATTATTTTACTAAATACAGGAATGTATTTGAAGGCATAAGCAGGATCAAAATAAAACCCTGTGAACTTAAATTAAAGGATGATTACAAAGGCTATTGTGGCGCCCGTCGGCTACGGGCCGATTCTGCCGATAGAGGGCGCAAGAAAAATAAACGTGAACTTTGAACTGGTCACTCACTTCCGACCAACAGCCACTGGATACGGACGCTACCAAAACGACTTAAAATCTTCGATCGATGTCGGGCCGTAATATTGTACATTACTGTATATATATGTATATATTGTCAAATAAAGAAAGGGATACAAAAAATCGACTGGACGTATTCTCTACAACATCGGACGATTAGCATAGAGTTTAGAACACCAAAACTGGTGACCCGAACAAAGAAGACACGTGCCCCGCAAGGACAATCCATCTCCATCGTACAGCCACTAGATCAGAAAAACGAAACTTAATTATTTCCTGTAATTTAAGAAGGTCAGTAACAATTTTATATCTTTATTTTGGAAAATTTCGTCAACCGATATAATGGAGTCAGCCGGCGTTCCGCAAATCTCTCGAGTGGCAGTCAAGCCACCTCCATTTTGGAAAAACAATCCCACTCTCTGGTTTGCCCAACTCGAAGCTCAGTTCGCCATCGCTAATGTTTCCGCCAACATAACCAAATATTACTACGTTATTTCAACAATAGAATCGGACATCTTAGAATCGGTACACGACCTAGTGACCAAGCCACCTGAAAACAACAAGTATGACACTATAAAAAAAAGGCTGATCGACATATATTCGGAAAGCCAAACGTCCAAGTTACGAACACTTTTACAAGGACTTGAATTGGGCGACCAGCGCCCGTCACACTTATTAACTAAGATGCGTGACCTCGCCAATGGTCATTTCAGTGAAGACTTATTAAAATCGCTGTGGCTTCGAAGACTACCAGGAAATATCCAAGCTATTCTGGCAGCATCGAATGAAAGTCTGCCACAACTCGCCACAATGGCTGATAAAATACACGAACTTACCATCATTAACCACACGCCAATCAGCCAACAGGAACAATTCTCTATTAGCAATCCAATCGAGAAACAAATACAGGAATTAACATTGCAAGTAAATGAACTCGCTACTCTGGTACGAACACCAAGATACCAACATCGCCCAAGATACAACTTCCGAAATCGCCAGGACCCGCACGGACGAAGTCCATCCCGTGAGCGACGACGTTACAAAGAACCAGAAGGTGGCTTATGTTTTTATCACACTAACTTTGGTGCAAATGCAAAAAAATGCACCCCACCCTAGTTCATTACAATACAATAGTACCATTTAACTTAATGAATCCATTAAAGAAAGAATTAACAAGAATGATAAATGATGGAATTGTATACAGCATAGATGAATCGACAGAGTTTGTAAACCCAATTGTCCTAGTTCACAAACCTGTTGGATCCCTGAGAAAATGCTTAGATCCACAGAATTTGAATCACTCGATAATGAGAGAACATTTTGAAATACTGACCTTTGAGGAAATCACAAGAGATATGGCAGGTTCTAAATTTTTCTCTATCCTAGATGCAAACAAGGGATTTTGGCAGATTGAACTGGCAGATAACTCATCAAAATTAACAACTTTTAGTATTCCTTTTGGGAGATGTAGGTTTCTGCGACTTCCCTTTGAATTGACAAATGCTCCTGAGATCTTTCACAAAACATTCACAGAAATTTTTGCTCGTATTGAAGATTTACATTGATGATCTTATCATTCATGCAAAAGACACAGAACATGACAGAATCTTAGAATTTGGTTCTGAAGACAGCTGAAGGAAAAAGGGTTAGGTTCAATAAGGATAAGTGCAAATTTAAACTAAAGGAAGTCAAATATGTAGCCTACTGGTTTAAAAGAACTTAGTCAATTCGTGGGCATGATAACTTATGTGGCAAAGTTTATACCAAATTTAACTAGTCATACTGCAAAATTAAAGACTTTACTGAAACAGGATTGTTTGTGGCAAGATAAGGAATTTTTGAAACTAAAGAACATCTTGAGCAGCACTCCAATCTTACAATTTTATGATAAAGATAAACCACTAGTACTGTCAGTGGATAGTTCAAAAGATGGAATGGGAGCTGTATATTGGGAGGTCTTATATTGTGTGCGTAGACAAAGATGGTAAAAAGGTGCTCCAGTAGCTTATGCATCAAAGACTCTCACGGAGACCCAGAAAAATTATGCACAAATTGAGAAAGAGGCACTGTCAATAGTGTTTGGCTGTCAGCATTTTCACCAGTATCTGTATGGTCGTGAAATTGCAATTGAGAGTGACCATAAACCATTAGAAACAATTTTTCAAAAGTCACTAAATAAATGCCCACTATGCCTTCAGAGATTAAGGATTACCTTACAAAATTAGAATTTTAGGGTAAAATACTGACCAGGACAGTGGCATAGTGAGGGGGGTGCAAGGGGGTGTATCATGCACCGGGTGCCACTCGCAGAGGGAAGCCCAAATGGTCTCCAAGACAAACTACTGTATATGTGTTTCTGGAGGGAGAGGTTATGTGTTTCTGGGCGCCAGTTATGTTTGCTACGCCATTGGATCAGTATCACAACTTGTGTTGGCCGATGCCTTTTCTCGATCTAACTATGCAGACAAGAATTTTGATGTGATAGAATCTGACATTGAAGCTCAAGTTAATCTTATCAATTACTGTAGCATTACTCCAAAGAAATTTGTAAAGCTTCATCATGAAACAAAAAGAGATAGAGTTACAGTCACTGATTAACATAATAAAGGGAGGTCGGCCAGAATAGAAAAACACGATAGATTCACTAGTCAAACCATATTGGAAGTTTCGTAAAGACCTGAGTGAAGTGAGAAGCATAGTATGTAAAGGTGAACAATTAGTTATTCCCAAGAGCATGAGAGCAGAGACAATTGATGGACTACATTATAATCACATGGGAATCAATAAAACATTATGGAGAGCAAAAGAACATTTTTTTTGGCCTTTCATGGAAAAAGAAATAATTGATGTTGTAAGGAACTGTCCAGAATGTCTAAAGTATCAAAATTCAAATCTGAAAGAAATGCTTATTAACAGAGAATTTTCCACAAGACCATGGGAAATTGTCACCACTGATATCTGTCATTAATTTGGTAAATACTATCTACTAGTAGAAGACACATTTTCATGATTCCCAGAAGTTTACTGTATGCATCAGAACACCACTCATTCCCAACATCGATATTTTCCAGACATGGCAAGCCAGAAATTGTATACTCAGGTAATGATCCCCAGTTTGTAAACAAACACTTTCAACAATTTTTAGAAGACTAGGAAATAACACATAAGACAAGCCCTCCATGAAGCCCTCAGTCTAATGGTTTCATTGAATGACATGTGCAGACTATCAAAAAATTACTAAAGAAAGCAGTCTATGATTCAAAGGACATTTATCTGACCTTGTTGGAATACAGAAGTACACCCTTAGGTTGAGGTATTTCATCCGCAACACAACTTCTTTATGGTCATAGGTTGTGAGAGGGCAAGTGCCCATGAGGAATAATCTCCTAGAATGAAACCTAGAATAGTTGTAGACAAATTTAGAAAAAGCCATTTGCAAAGACAACAAGTACAGAAATACTATTTCGAGAGGAATGCTAGAGACCTAAATCCACATGACCGAATGATGATACAAATCGATAAAAAAAAAAAAACTGGGAGCCTGGTGAAATAATAGAGATAGACAGATATCGACCAAGGTCTTATATTGTGCGTATAGACAAAGATGATAAATACTTCATTCATAATCAAAGATTTTTAAGGAAGTTCAATGTGAATAGATTTAGGAATATACAGAATTATTCAAATGAATTATTAGACCACCAAAAGAAGATGAACAAGCCAGTGAACCAGAGGAAAACATAAATAGCTCCAGTAGTAGAGAGGAAAGCGACAGTCAGTCAGTAGTCAGTCAGTCAGTATTATTTATTAAAGTACAAAGTACATACTTGGTGTTGCATTAAGCATGACCAAGATAGAATACAAGGAGAAACCAAAGATATGTGACAAAGCAGTGAATATACAATAGAGTGATATAAAATATAATAATAATACACAAAACAAACCTTAGCACTACAAAATACAGAAAAAACAAAACAATACAAATGCTATACATAACAGAACAAAACAATACAGATACAATACATGACAAAACAATAAAAGTTACAAAGACAAAACATAAAAGAAAACATATGTAAGTAACATAAAACCGGAGTATATACAGTAGACAGCAGTATGGCTGGGAATTACATGTTACAAGATTAAGCTGTTGCAGTTGGCAGTATTTCTTTGCCAGTCTGGAGAAGGCAAAATAGATTTCCTTGTTAATAAGTAGGTCGGAGTGATGACATGGCCAAGGGATGCCAAGGTTCTGTAATATAATTCTAATCTCCAGTCGCTCTGCTTCAAGAATGGGACAGTCAAAAATGTAATGAGTCCCACTGTCCTCAACTTGACAGAAAGGAGAAAGACGTGAAGGATGATTGGTGAAGCGGGAGAGATATGCACTGAACTTTCTATGTCCAGTAAGAAACTGAGTTGTACGGTAGCTCGGCACAAACCAGTCAAGCTTCATAAACTCACTAACATTTGGAATATAGTTATAGGTAATGCAGGTGTTGTTACTGTTCTACATGTTTTGCCAGGTAGAGAGGATGTCCCTCCAGAGGAGCTGGCATAAGGTGTGCTTGCTTATCTTTTCATAGATGACAGGGATGATATTGTCCGTGGTGGCTGCTTTGGCAAGCTGGTCAGCACACTCATTACCAGGAGTGCCCTGATGGGCACATGCCCAGGTAATGGAGATGGTATTACTAATGCAGTTGATGATGTTTCTGATCTCAGTGGCAAGTGGGTGTAGATTATTGCCCTTGATTAAGGAGTAAGCAGATGAACAGTCAGTGATGATTTGGATGTAACTGGAGAAATAGTTGTTTGTAGACTGGAGGAGGGCCATTTTAATGGCAAGGAGCTCAGCCTGGAAAACAATACATAAGTGACTGAGACGATATTGCTGGAAGTATACTTCAACCTGATTGATGTAGACAACAAAACTGCAGGCGATAGAGTCATGGATTTTGGACCTGTCAGTGAAGATTTCCACAGTGGAGATTTGTGAAGTAGAGTTATCGAGATTGTTGAGATCATTTTCACAGAGAAGGGTATTGGAGAATGGATATGGAGAAGACTCATAATTTTAGCAGTTGATCAGACTGGCACTGGAATTAATTTCTTCTCCTTATTTGATGATTTGTAGCTTCCCATTGAGCTGGATAATCAGGTCAATGGGGGGCTTCCTGGAAATGATTTGAATACTACAATTTGAAGCAGTATGATAGCATTTAGTAATGAGCATAGAGGAAAGCAACACAGAGAATGAGCATTTGGAAAATCAGGAGACGAACAGCAGTGAAGCTGCAAACTTGGTGACTCGATCAGATCGGGTGGTTTGTAGGCCATCATGTTTCAAAGACTTTGTGTAAAAGAGGGAGAGTAACATGTATTCTATTTGAGATGTAATATGTATTGTATTTGAACTGTAAAATATTATTAATGAGTCCGCCAGGTGGCGATCATTGATGATACATCATGGGAACAGTACCTGAGCACTCACTTTAGATGTAGCTACTGGACAACAAACATAACAAGAAGGTTAAATAATAGATTCAGGGAGATAAATTTTGATATTTTTAAAAATTTATCAATTAAATTCTAGTCATGTAAATTAAGTTATTTTATTAAAATTAAGCATATATTTCAGCTTGCCAATCATTCAAGTAAAGGAACATATCAAGAAAAATGTAAATAAGTAAATTCTCTTTTAACAAAATGTATTCTAATCATAAAGTAATAATTATATTAAACAGCTTAATTTATTTTCTATTAGATGAAATAGATGACATAGGATTCAGTTTTGTTAAGAAGTGTATAGAAGTGATCGAATCTCAAGGTTTGGAAGATGAAGGTCTTTATCGTCTCGTTGGCGTCAATTCAAAAGTAAATAAGCTCACTCAAATAGCACTTGGTAAGAAAAATTATATCGTTTTGTTCAAAATTTACTTTCTTATAAAGAAACATTAACATAAATAAAAACATATGCAGATAATATTTTATATTTAAAATCTACTGTTTGATTCATTGACAATACATGCTGTTAAAAATATACACAATTATATATTATTGTTTATGCCTTTATATACTCGAGTTATCTTGAGTGTAGCTCCAAACCTTCTTTGTAGAACCTTCTAAACAACTCTCCAGTACCTATTATCTTGATAACGACTAACGCTTTCGATCCTTCAGCTGGATCTTCTTCACGTCAAACGTAAACGTTGCGTTTTTTTAAAATGTTCCATTAATCTAATGTGTCTCCAGGTTAAATTCACTGTGTAATGTCATTGATATAAAGTGGGGCACAAGCGTTAGTCATTATCAAGGTACTGGAGAATTGTTTAGAAGGTTCTACAAAGAAGGTTTGGAGCTATGTCTTGAGTGTGCAAATCCACTCTAAATGTCTGAATGCATGTATCAAATGTACAAATTATAGACTAAATTTCAGATTACAGTTTATATTTATTGCAAATTTAATTTTATTTCTAGTTATTTTAAATATTTATTTATATTCAATGTAGATAAACAGAAAATAGAAAAAATCAACTTAAAAGATACAAATGAATGGGAAATTAAAACAATCACTAGTGCTCTAAAAAATTATTTCAGGTTGGTATTATTTATAGACATTCACTTTTTGATTAAATAATTAAAATTTATGCATTAAATTCTTATAAAATTGAGATTACATTGATAATTATAGCACTAAATGCATTTTTTAAAACTTTTAAAAAATTTCATCATTACACAAATACCCGATAAAACAAGTCTCAACCTTTTTATGCTTGCTCAATTAATTATAAATATAGGTATCTGATTATGAATAATAACCACTTTCTGGGAACTTTATGAATGCTCCTCATACGTGATAAAGTATGTTTGTTTTAAATTTAAGGTGCCTCTTAAATTCTTAGTGTATTTCATACTCTTTAGAAGTCTAAACACAAATTTTATACTGTTTTCTGCTAACATAACAAATATCTGCTTTATTGGCATTCACTTTAATAACAGTCAGTAGCACCCATACATTGAGGCACATGCCCCCTTTGTCGTCACGTTGCCCTTTTCTTAATCCCAAGGGCACTCTAAGGTTTCACTTTTATTTTTAAAGTAGTTACTCACTTTTATCACAGAAAACATTTTTACCGATGATAAAATTAAAATAAAATAAGCAATTATTTATTGCAACATGGTCACAATGCTGGGCTACAATTTTTTATTTTATTTCATTTAAAATATATGCTCTCCACCTCAAATTAGTAGTGTCTTGTCCCTGTACATCATACTTTTCCTGTTAACAATAGAGTCATGCTGGTCACCTAATTTCTTTCAGGGGAAAATTTTTAAATTGAAATAATGTGACTTCTGGTCTAGGCTGGAAGTTCATATATACAGTAGAGCATCGATTATCCGACTCAATTAGGAACTCAGGTTGGTCGGATAACCGAAAAGAATGAAAAAAATACATTGTTAGTATAGTATATTAGTATATCCCATGTAATTAGTATATTAGTATATCGCTATTAACCAACTTTGCGTTGAATTTTCATCGATGTTAAGCCTAACAAATTTTTTTTTAATAATAATCGTNAATGTAGTGTTGCCACCTTTACAAAATTGCTGACCCGGATGGCAGGTCAGGTTTGTTCGAACAGAAGTTCCTGACGGATGCGCAATGTCATTTTGCAATGTGAAGAATAACGTGCATGCCGGTTATAAATCAGTTACAGTTAGGGAGTAGGGAGACTTGGGTAGGAGTAACGTATGTAACCTAAATTAAGAAAGAAGAAATACAGATGACGACTTAGCTGTATTCGATATTGGAGATGTGTATGATTCATACAAATAGAAGCTTAAAAAAAAGGTCAACAGGTTGTGCACGAAATTCCCGGGTGAAAACCGGACGGGTGGTAACACTATTATAATGTTATTGTCTATATACAGATTTTACACATACAAAGAAATAAAAAACAGTGAACTTTAAAGAACAAATTTAAAAATCTGTTTTATTGGAGCTCAGAAACTTGTGTCAGATATCATTTTCTCAAGTACTTCTAGCAATTTAAAGTCTATGAATTTAGAGACTGGAGTTTAATTCATTATTTGAATTACAAAATATTAATGGGAAGTATTAACCCACGGCTGTTCTGGGTTAACTGGTATTTACTAATTAGTATTTAATTTATTATAAATAAACTAGTAAATAATAAATTCAGTTGCGGATACAGAAATACATAACAGTTGTAAAAATGGAGAATTAACAATTCGCCATTTTTCAAAGAAACTCGAATTTATCCAAACACAACACTAACAACTTGAAATGAAGCTTGTTCAAAACAGAAAATTGCAAGGAGTAGGCGTACATCTTATATTCATTTACAAGTCAGTGTAAATTTTGTCACAGCTGTGACACCTCAACTCCCAGGTAAACAGAATGTCTTCAATTTCCTTTAATTATAAGTATATTAAACAATCTGAAGCCCAATAATATATAGATACATAACCCAAACGATCACCTTAAATACTCAAGCTATAAATCTGCAATTTTTAATAATTAATACGAAGTAATTTATAATAATTTCTTTAATTCATGGTTAGTGTTTTTTGTTATTGGAAACTTTGCAAAAACATAATAAATGTATATTGTAAATTGGATGAGAGAGCAATTATAACGGAACATTAAGAGGATAAAAACACACAAGTAAATTACTAAAGAAAGCAAAAAATAAATAATTTAGTAATGGAAAAATGTAACCCACCTTTTCCTCAAAAAATTTAAAAAATTCTTTAATAAATTCATGATTAGAACTTAGAAATGGCTATGGGATATACATTTAATAGTGTAAAGATTGTTGACTGGGGAAGGGGTATCAGTTAGACTCAAGTCAAGATGTTTCAGGGGTTTACAACGTTATGTGGGCAGTAGTGGACATGCTGACTCGGGCATCGTTACTATTATAACCCGTTTATTAAAGTTTGTAAACTGGCAGCTTACAAAATTGAGGGGAGATGCTCCTTCTCAGTCAAGGATCGCAAGGTAGAAAATGTCCAAAGCTTTCTGTTGCAGGTTTTCCTTTGACATTTCCTTGGCAGCCCTGGGGCAGTGTCATGGTTAAATTCAGCAGATATAGGACAATGATCAATGATGGATTCAAGTCAGGAACTATGGGGAGGATGTTAGCACAGAGAACAGAGAGGAGCCGCACACGGGTCACTTCAGAATGTTGTATGAAGGAAAATCCGTGCTTTGTCCTTGAAATTATGGGTATTTAAAGGATTTCATTCCCGAATTCCTTATTCTGATTGGTTTTGATTCCTTTTCATCATTTCCTGATTGGTCTCCTCCTTTGTTTCCAGATGGGAATAAGATTGGATAAGGTCGTGAGAAAGGTTGATCTTTAGTATTCAACTCAGCACCGTCTCTCAACTCTGACTGGGAGATGTTGATGAAACTTCAAAACCTACACTTGTATTTTAGATCATTATGGTTCCTGTTCTGACATTTTGGAATTTTAACTACTACATGAAATGTTTTTTTTTTTTTTTTGTTAAACTTCCCAGTTTTCTGATTCAGTTTAACTCCTATCATTTTTATATGAGCATCAGAGTCAAAGTTTGAACTCTCTGGACTGACATTGATCTATTATCTAACATGTGTTGTCGCACTCAGGAGTTATTGTTTCTTTTCTTTAAAAATAAGATATTTTTTTCTCAGTGCATTTAACAAGAAGTTTGGACTCAGTCTGGAACCTCACATAAACTGGAGCATTACCACACCATCCACTCTTATGAATAAGTTCGTGTTTGACCTTAAAATTGATTCCTTTTTTCTCAAATGCTTAGGATAAAGGCGTTTTGACTATTATGTACAGGTTTAATTTCACATAAACTTTTATTTTAAATATGAAATGTTTAAAAGTCATGCAGTCATTTAATTTACTTTCTTTGTTGGTAACCATTATTGTTCATAATGATATCCAATGAACCTCATAGAAATATCATCTTTCAAGAATCTCTAAAAACAGCAACTTATTTATGCAACAGAAAATTTAGCCACACTGCATTAATATGTTTATATAGAATTTATTATTATCGATGTCTTAAATATAAAAAATATGTAGAATCAAGAATTTGGAGAATAAACTATTCAATAATTCTGATATAAACATATTTGTGTCATATCTCATTGAATAATTAATGTCCACTTACAATTAACGCTTGCTTAATTTGATTAAGTTTTTTAAACTACTGCGACATTTGCTATATTTACTAAATTCAAAAGCATTTTATTTATTCTGTTCTTTACATTATGCAGAAAACATAAAATTTTTATCTAATATATCATATTTAGCATATAAATATAGTACTTATAATTTTAAATAATGTTAAAATAGTTTCTAATGAACGTCTTTTGCTTAAATTTATTTATATTGTTTTCAAATGCAAGTGTCACCACTCGTAAAGTGTATATGATCTACGATTTAGATTATATACTCGTTTATTACAGTCTCGGAACTACGGTGAGTGTATAAGCAATAATACATACAGAAAACTTCTCATACATATATGTAATTAAAATAAAGTATGTATCTACATAGATAAAAACAGATGAACTAACTAATTTGTCAATTTTCTAACACATGTCTTCAGAAAACCTACTTTATTATATAATGGACTTTCAGTTTAACAGACACTCCTCGTCTCGATTAGTCCATTAAATTGAGGTTTCACTGTATGCGAAATATTTATAATAATTAATATTAAAATCATATATATTTTCAAAAGTTTTGATATTTATTTAATTTGAACGAGATCTTCTAGTTCTTGTGACATTTCTGGAAGGATTATGTATAAATAAATATACTTATACACAATCCTAAAGCAAAATATAAATTTTTTTCTTGTACAAAATATAAATTATTTAAAATTTTAATCATACTCATTAAATATTTATAACTGATAATGCCAGTCATTGACTTAAATTATATTAGAAGTGTAACATGTATCTATTTGAGATGTAATATGTATTGTATTTGAACTGTAAAATATCATTAGTGGGTCCACCAGGTGGCAATCGTTGCTGATACATCATGGGAACAGTACCTGAGCACTCACTTTGGATATAGCTACTGGACAATAAACATAACATGACGTACTTGAGAAACGTTTAGAGAAAGACAAAAGATTCTCCCATACTGGATTCGACATGTCTGTTCCGTTTACGTTTCAAAATCTTCCTCCTCCCAAATCGATGTTGGTAGGTGATTTGGGAGCAAATTGGAAGAAATTCAAGAAAGTTATCTACTTTATTTGAAGGTGACTTACATAATTTTTAGCAGACTTACATAAGCTATCAATAAATTGTGAGTTTGGGAATTTATGGGATCAACTATTAAGAGATAGAATTGTGAGTGGTATTCGTGATCAGAAGATAAAGGAACATCTACTATGAGAAACAGAGCTATCATTAACAAAGGCAATTGACGTATGCAGAGCCTCTGAACAGACAGAGCTGCATTAAACTCTTGTCGAATCAACCAAAGAATATAGAAGTCAACGTGATAAAAGGAAAATCAAGAGAACGTCTCAGTGAATCACGTGATCATGAAAATAGGTCTAGTGCAGAAACAAAGGACCATCAGCCAGAGAACAATTGACGCAAATATCGAAGACTGGAAAATAAGTTCCAAGGAAGACAATGGAATTGTGGGAGATGTGGTTATAGACATAATAAACTGAACTGTCCAGCAATGGGCAAACAATATAATAAATGCAAGAAATACAATCATTTTGTGAAAGTGTGTCGAAATAACGTGGTAAATGTACTGGAAATGGCGCCAGAGAGTACAAATGACTATGTACTGGCATCACTGGAAAGCAGGGGTAAGAACCTTGATCTAGACTGGTCAGAGACTTTAAGAATTTTAGATTGTGATAAAAGTGTTAGTTTTAAGAGAGATACTAGTGCACACATTAATATAATCCCCGTATATATTTTTGAGACTCTTAATCTAAGAAGACTGCTAAAGAAAACAAATATTACGATTTCAAATTATGGTGGAATTAGATTAAAGGTGTTAGGATCTTGTGATTTAACAGTACAAACTAAGGATAAGGTCAAGGAACTTTTGAATTTTATAATAGTCAAGACAACTGACCAAGCAGCACCTATTTTAGGACTCAAGAGTATTGAAAAACTAAATATACTGCAGAGAAATTGAAATGTATTAGAAATAAAAATGGAAAGTGATTATTTTACTAAATACAGGAATGTATTTGAAGGCATAAGCAGGATCAAAATAAAACCCTGTGAACTTAAATTAAAGGATGATTACAAAGGCTATTGTGGCGCCCGTCGGCTACGGGCCGATTCTGCCGATAGAGGGCGCAAGAAAAATAAACGTGAACTTTGAACTGGTCACTCACTTCCGACCAACAGCCACTGGATACGGACGCTACCAAAACGACTTAAAATCTTCGATCGATGTCGGGCCGTAATATTGTACATTACTGTATATATATGTATATATTGTCAAATAAAGAAAGGGATACAAAAAATCGACTGGACGTATTCTCTACAACATCGGACGATTAGCATAGAGTTTAGGGCACCAAAACTGGTGAGCCGAACAAAGAAGACACGTGCCCCGCAAGGACAATCTATCTCCATCGTACAGCCACTAGATCAGAAAAACGAAACTTAATTATTTCCTGTAATTTAAGAAGGTCAGTAACAATTTTATATCTTTATTTTGGAAAATTTCGTCAACCGATATAATGGAGTCAGCCGGCGTTCCGCAAATCTCTCGAGTGGCAGTCAAGCCACCTCCATTTTGGAAAAACAATCCCACTCTCTGGTTTGCCCAACTCGAAGCTCAGTTCGCCATCGCTAACGTTTCCGCCGACATAACCAAATATTACTACGTTATTTCAACNTATTCCTTTTGGGAGATGTAGGTTTCTGCGACTTCCCTTTGAATTGACAAATGCTCCTGAGATCTTTCACAAAACATTCACAGAAATTTTTGCTCGTATTGAAGATTTACATTGATGATCTTATCATTCATGCAAAAGACACAGAACATGACAGAATCTTAGAATTTGGTTCTGAAGACAGCTGAAGGAAAAAGGGTTAGGTTCAATAAGGATAAGTGCAAATTTAAACTAAAGGAAGTCAAATATGTAGCCTACTGGTTTAAAAGAACTTAGTCAATTCGTGGGCATGATAACTTATGTGGCAAAGTTTATACCAAATTTAACTAGTCATACTGCAAAATTAAAGACTTTACTGAAACAGGATTGTTTGTGGCAAGATAAGGAATTTTTGAAACTAAAGAACATCTTGAGCAGCACTCCAATCTTACAATTTTATGATAAAGATAAACCACTAGTACTGTCAGTGGATAGTTCAAAAGATGGAATGGGAGCTGTATATTGGGAGGTCTTATATTGTGTGCGTAGACAAAGATGGTAAAAAGGTGCTCCAGTAGCTTATGCATCAAAGACTCTCACGGAGACCCAGAAAAATTATGCACAAATTGAGAAAGAGGCACTGTCAATAGTGTTTGGCTGTCAGCATTTTCACCAGTATCTGTATGGTCGTGAAATTGCAATTGAGAGTGACCATAAACCATTAGAAACAATTTTTCAAAAGTCACTAAATAAATGCCCACTATGCCTTCAGAGATTAAGGATTACCTTACAAAATTAGAATTTTAGGGTAAATACTGACCAGGACAGTGGCATAGTGAGGGGGGTGCAAGGGGGTGTATCATGCACCGGGTGCCACTCGCAGAGGGAAGCCCAAATGGTCTCCAAGACAAACTACTGTATATGTGTTTCTGGAGGGAGAGGTTATGTGTTTCTGGGCGCCAGTTATGTTTGCTACGCCATTGGATCAGTATCACAACTTGTGTTGGCCGATGCCTTTTCTCGATCTAACTATGCAGACAAGAATTTTGATGTGATAGAATCTGACATTGAAGCTCAAGTTAATCTTATCAATTACTGTAGCATTACTCCAAAGAAATTTGTAAAGCTTCATCATGAAACAAAAAGAGATAGAGTTACAGTCACTGATTAACATAATAAAGGGAGGTCGGCCAGAATAGAAAAACACGATAGATTCACTAGTCAAACCATATTGGAAGTTTCGTAAAGACCTGAGTGAAGTGAGAAGCATAGTATGTAAAGGTGAACAATTAGTTATTCCCAAGAGCATGAGAGCAGAGACAATTGATGGACTACATTATAATCACATGGGAATCAATAAAACATTATGGAGAGCAAAAGAACATTTTTTTTGGCCTTTCATGGAAAAAGAAATAATTGATGTTGTAAGGAACTGTCCAGAATGTCTAAAGTATCAAAATTCAAATCTGAAAGAAATGCTTATTAACAGAGAATTTTCCACAAGACCATGGGAAATTGTCACCACTGATATCTGTCATTAATTTGGTAAATACTATCTACTAGTAGAAGACACATTTTCATGATTCCCAGAAGTTTACTGTATGCATCAGAACACCACTCATTCCCAACATCGATATTTTCCAGACATGGCAAGCCAGAAATTGTATACTCAGGTAATGATCCCCAGTTTGTAAACAAACACTTTCAACAATTTTTAGAAGACTAGGAAATAACACATAAGACAAGCCCTCCATGAAGCCCTCAGTCTAATGGTTTCATTGAATGACATGTGCAGACTATCAAAAAATTACTAAAGAAAGCAGTCTATGATTCAAAGGACATTTATCTGACCTTGTTGGAATACAGAAGTACACCCTTAGGTTGAGGTATTTCATCCGCAACACAACTTCTTTATGGTCATAGGTTGTGAGAGGGCAAGTGCCCATGAGGAATAATCTCCTAGAATGAAACCTAGAATAGTTGTAGACAAATTTAGAAAAAGCCATTTGCAAAGACAACAAGTACAGAAATACTATTTCGAGAGGAATGCTAGAGACCTAAATCCACATGACCGAATGATGATACAAATCGATAAAAAAAAAAAAACTGGGAGCCTGGTGAAATAATAGAGATAGACAGATATCGACCAAGGTCTTATATTGTGCGTATAGACAAAGATGATAAATACTTCATTCATAATCAAAGATTTTTAAGGAAGTTCAATGTGAATAGATTTAGGAATATACAGAATTATTCAAATGAATTATTAGACCACCAAAAGAAGATGAACAAGCCAGTGAACCAGAGGAAAACATAAATAGCTCCAGTAGTAGAGAGGAAAGCGACAGTCAGTCAGTAGTCAGTCAGTCAGTATTATTTATTAAAGTACAAAGTACATACTTGGTGTTGCATTAAGCATGACCAAGATAGAATACAAGGAGAAACCAAAGATATGTGACAAAGCAGTGAATATACAATAGAGTGATATAAAATATAATAATAATACACAAAACAAACCTTAGCACTACAAAATACAGAAAAAACAAAACAATACAAATGCTATACATAACAGAACAAAACAATACAGATACAATACATGACAAAACAATAAAAGTTACAAAGACAAAACATAAAAGAAAACATATGTAAGTAACATAAAACCGGAGTATATACAGTAGACAGCAGTATGGCTGGGAATTACATGTTACAAGATTAAGCTGTTGCAGTTGGCAGTATTTCTTTGCCAGTCTGGAGAAGGCAAAATAGATTTCCTTGTTAATAAGTAGGTCGGAGTGATGACATGGCCAAGGGATGCCAAGGTTCTGTAATATAATTCTAATCTCCAGTCGCTCTGCTTCAAGAATGGGACAGTCAAAAATGTAATGAGTCCCACTGTCCTCAACTTGACAGAAAGGAGAAAGACGTGAAGGATGATTGGTGAAGCGGGAGAGATATGCACTGAACTTTCTATGTCCAGTAAGAAACTGAGTTGTACGGTAGCTCGGCACAAACCAGTCAAGCTTCATAAACTCACTAACATTTGGAATATAGTTATAGGTAATGCAGGTGTTGTTACTGTTCTACATGTTTTGCCAGGTAGAGAGGATGTCCCTCCAGAGGAGCTGGCATAAGGTGTGCTTGCTTATCTTTTCATAGATGACAGGGATGATATTGTCCGTGGTGGCTGCTTTGGCAAGCTGGTCAGCACACTCATTACCAGGAGTGCCCTGATGGGCACATGCCCAGGTAATGGAGATGGTATTACTAATGCAGTTGATGATGTTTCTGATCTCAGTGGCAAGTGGGTGTAGATTATTGCCCTTGATTAAGGAGTAAGCAGATGAACAGTCAGTGATGATTTGGATGTAACTGGAGAAATAGTTGTTTGTAGACTGGAGGAGGGCCATTTTAATGGCAAGGAGCTCAGCCTGGAAAACAATACATAAGTGACTGAGACGATATTGCTGGAAGTATACTTCAACCTGATTGATGTAGACAACAAAACTGCAGGCGATAGAGTCATGGATTTTGGACCTGTCAGTGAAGATTTCCACAGTGGAGATTTGTGAAGTAGAGTTATCGAGATTGTTGAGATCATTTTCACAGAGAAGGGTATTGGAGAATGGATATGGAGAAGACTCATAATTTTAGCAGTTGATCAGACTGGCACTGGAATTAATTTCTTCTCCTTATTTGATGATTTGTAGCTTCCCATTGAGCTGGATAATCAGGTCAATGGGGGGCTTCCTGGAAATGATTTGAATACTACAATTTGAAGCAGTATGATAGCATTTAGTAATGAGCATAGAGGAAAGCAACACAGAGAATGAGCATTTGGAAAATCAGGAGACGAACAGCAGTGAAGCTGCAAACTTGGTGACTCGATCAGATCGGGTGGTTTGTAGGCCATCATGTTTCAAAGACTTTGTGTAAAAGAGGGAGAGTAACATGTATTCTATTTGAGATGTAATATGTATTGTATTTGAACTGTAAAATATTATTAATGAGTCCGCCAGGTGGCGATCATTGATGATACATCATGGGAACAGTACCTGAGCACTCACTTTAGATGTAGCTACTGGACAACAAACATAACAAGAAGGTTAAATAATAGATTCAGGGAGATAAATTTTGATATTTTTAAAAATTTATCAATTAAATTCTAGTCATGTAAATTAAGTTATTTTATTAAAATTAAGCATATATTTCAGCTTGCCAATCATTCAAGTAAAGGAACATATCAAGAAAAATGTAAATAAGTAAATTCTCTTTTAACAAAATGTATTCTAATCATAAAGTAATAATTATATTAAACAGCTTAATTTATTTTCTATTAGATGAAATAGATGACATAGGATTCAGTTTTGTTAAGAAGTGTATAGAAGTGATCGAATCTCAAGGTTTGGAAGATGAAGGTCTTTATCGTCTCGTTGGCGTCAATTCAAAAGTAAATAAGCTCACTCAAATAGCACTTGGTAAGAAAAATTATATCGTTTTGTTCAAAATTTACTTTCTTATAAAGAAACATTAACATAAATAAAAACATATGCAGATAATATTTTATATTTAAAATCTACTGTTTGATTCATTGACAATACATGCTGTTAAAAATATACACAATTATATATTATTGTTTATGCCTTTATATACTCGAGTTATCTTGAGTGTAGCTCCAAACCTTCTTTGTAGAACCTTCTAAACAACTCTCCAGTACCTATTATCTTGATAACGACTAACGCTTTCGATCCTTCAGCTGGATCTTCTTCACGTCAAACGTAAACGTTGCGTTTTTTTAAAATGTTCCATTAATCTAATGTGTCTCCAGGTTAAATTCACTGTGTAATGTCATTGATATAAAGTGGGGCACAAGCGTTAGTCATTATCAAGGTACTGGAGAATTGTTTAGAAGGTTCTACAAAGAAGGTTTGGAGCTATGTCTTGAGTGTGCAAATCCACTCTAAATGTCTGAATGCATGTATCAAATGTACAAATTATAGACTAAATTTCAGATTACAGTTTATATTTATTGCAAATTTAATTTTATTTCTAGTTATTTTAAATATTTATTTATATTCAATGTAGATAAACAGAAAATAGAAAAAATCAACTTAAAAGATACAAATGAATGGGAAATTAAAACAATCACTAGTGCTCTAAAAAATTATTTCAGGTTGGTATTATTTATAGACATTCACTTTTTGATTAAATAATTAAAATTTATGCATTAAATTCTTATAAAATTGAGATTACATTGATAATTATAGCACTAAATGCATTTTTTAAAACTTTTAAAAAATTTCATCATTACACAAATACCCGATAAAACAAGTCTCAACCTTTTTATGCTTGCTCAATTAATTATAAATATAGGTATCTGATTATGAATAATAACCACTTTCTGGGAACTTTATGAATGCTCCTCATACGTGATAAAGTATGTTTGTTTTAAATTTAAGGTGCCTCTTAAATTCTTAGTGTATTTCATACTCTTTAGAAGTCTAAACACAAATTTTATACTGTTTTCTGCTAACATAACAAATATCTGCTTTATTGGCATTCACTTTAATAACAGTCAGTAGCACCCATACATTGAGGCACATGCCCCCTTTGTCGTCACGTTGCCCTTTTCTTAATCCCAAGGGCACTCTAAGGTTTCACTTTTATTTTTAAAGTAGTTACTCACTTTTATCACAGAAAACATTTTTACCGATGATAAAATTAAAATAAAATAAGCAATTATTTATTGCAACATGGTCACAATGCTGGGCTACAATTTTTTATTTTATTTCATTTAAAATATATGCTCTCCACCTCAAATTAGTAGTGTCTTGTCCCTGTACATCATACTTTTCCTGTTAACAATAGAGTCATGCTGGTCACCTAATTTCTTTCAGGGGAAAATTTTTAAATTGAAATAATGTGACTTCTGGTCTAGGCTGGAAGTTCATATATACAGTAGAGCATCGATTATCCGACTCAATTAGGAACTCAGGTTGGTCGGATAACCGAAAAGAATGAAAAAAATACATTGTTAGTATAGTATATTAGTATATCCCATGTAATTAGTATATTAGTATATCGCTATTAACCAACTTTGCGTTGAATTTTCATCGATGTTAAGCCTAACAAATTTTTTTTTAATAATAATCGTTGCTATTGTATTGTTAAAAATTATTTTTAAATTATTTTATTGCTCACAAAACAAACAACCATTCATAATTAGAAAATTATGTCTCGTTTAAATACTGGCCTCCCTTCAATGGTCGAGCCTGTTGCCAGCTAAAACACGCAAAAATTTAACAAATAATATTAAAGTAGCCAAGACGTAGCCAAATATTGTAGTGCCACATCACTAGTGGACATTTGAAATTTGTCGACTAGAACGGTTGGTTAACTGATGTGACGGTTAATCGGGGGTCGAATAATCGATGCTCTACTGTAGTTAATTGGAGCTTCCTACCCCTATGCTTTCCATATCTGTACTTGGTTTTAATCTATCTGACTCTGTTCTCGAGATTAAGGAAGGACAACAGACAGAGGACGACAATGGGAATTTATAGGTCTACAATTTTTTCAAATTGCAGTCCAAATATTTATTCTAGAGAGTTCGGATTGTTCATTTGGTCGAGTACTAAGTTACCACTGTAATTGAGTAATGCAATTTTGATATATACTGTAGCATCGAGAGATTAATTAATTGCATTAATCAAGGAATACCTGTATTTTATAGCTTGTGCCCCCTTTTTTTTATAGTCTGCAGGTGTCACCGATAACAGTTTTTCTTAAGCAGTTTTAAGCATAAGAATAAGATTTTTCTTATTGTTATGCTTTTAAAGAGCATAAAAATAAGATTATAATTAATTAAGGACATTGAGGCATATTAATTTAACTATTTCATATAATTTATGTTTCATTATTTTAATATAGATATTATTTACATAATATCAAATTTACTATACAGTATAATTTTGTTATTAAATTCAGGAATCTTGCTGAACCTCTGTTAACATTCAAATTACACAGTGCCTTTATAACTGCAGCAAGTATGTGAATTTACATAAATTAATTTTTTTACTTAACAAATAAAATTTATAATTATATAAAATAAATTTTTAAATTACATTTTAAAAAAGCTAAAAATAGTTTTAATTCTTTTTTCAATCTTTACTAGAACAAGATAATAAATTACAAAAGATTGCAGATATCCATGCACTGGTTTATCAGTTACCAAGAAGGAACTTTAAAATGTTAGAACTCCTCGTCAAACATCTTTGCAGGTAAAAATTCTGTCAATTATAATATATCTGTCAATTATAATTGTCACTTTATATATCATAATATATAAAGTGACCAGATTCTGAAATGTAAAAAGTGGGACATTAGGCTGGGCATTTTAACATGACATCAGATGAGTCAGGTTTTATGTATTGTGCATGTGAACAGTGCTATTTGGACATTCTGGTTCCATTGTTTTTGTCTTGTGTGCAGGCCAATCTGTAAATTAAGCTCCTGGGGTAGCTACTGTATGTGTTGTAGCTATGTCTGCAATGTGTTCTAGATTTGCCTTTGTACCTTCTGTTATATTACAATGTGTGTATGCTGCCTTCAATGCCCTTCTTATGAGGGCTTTAAAGGCAGCGATTTTATATCCAAACATGTCATTAGAATCTGCTGGTATATGTAACGGAACAAAATTTGGCTTATGGTATACATTCATATCAAAGCCGTTACCATTAAAATAAATTGAAATATTTAAAAAGTGGGCACTGGTGTTGTTCATTTGGTATAATTGTAAAAGCAAGCCTTATGGATTGTTGTTCATGGACTGGAGGAATTCATCTATGTTAGGGTTACTATTCCAAACCATACAAATATCATCAATATATCTCTTTTAATTGCAGATGTGCTGGAGGAATTTAGGTAGGACTTTGGTCTCCAAGAGTCAAATCATCATTACAGGTACGTCCCCAGATAAAGGACTACCCATGGGGACCCCTCTTTTCTGTAGGTAGATGTTTTCCTGTCAGATATAAGAGGTATAACACATCAAGTGCAATAATTTGAGGATTTGTTGATGGTATGCTGATTTCGTAACCTTCTGTATGAGCCAATCATGGAGACTACAGAAACAAGGCTCCAATCTAATGGACAGATATAATGATTTGAAGTCCAAGATGGTAATCCAAGCATTGTTGGTAATAGAGTATTGCCTTAAAACCTCTATCATTTGTATTGCATTTGACATTATAAATGGGTAGCCCTCTAGGTGCTTGCTGAGAAGGTTGCGTAGCACTGTTTCCAGTTTGCAGACCCTGTCCTGGTTCGTGTCTTCGCAAAAGCAAATAAGTGAAATATATCAGGTGAATCAACTACTGTTTTACTTGCAAATTTCTTTACTCTAGCTTGCATACAATCTATATAATCTTCTTGAATCTTTTCACATTCTGTTTCATTTATGTAATTTAGTAATGTTCTTCTATAAGAAGCTCATTTCATCAAAACTATAGACCTGTTCTTATCTGCTTTTAACAGGACAATGTTGTTCTCCTCCAACCACTTTTTTCATCCTTCTGGGAGAAACATAAGGCTAGTGTGTTTGATATTTTAATTACCTGCCTGGTTTCTAGAAGATTGACACATTTAAGGATGCATACTGTATTTTACAGACTATAAGACGCACTTTTTTTCTTTGAAAAATTGCCTCCAAAATTCAGGTGCATCTTATACTCGAAATTAATATAAAAATGTCCAGTGTTTGATTTAAAATTCCCGCCAGTCTTAAAAATGGCCATATATTTGATGCCACGGAAAACCTATCTCTATCTGGCAACATTGAATTCAACTGGTAGCAGCAGTGCACCGATGCGACAAACATGAGTTGCGGGAATTCACAAGCTTGCTAACACCGTCTCCCTCCCGCCCTGCCATCACAAACCCAGAACACTGTCTAGCCTATGACGCGTCATTGCAGTCTATGGTGCCAGTGAACTTGAATTGAAAGTGATTTGTGTTATCGTTAACAGTACAATATTTTTGTTAGTAGCTAACAAAAATAATGGTAAAAATGTTATTTTTTTAAAAAATTGCTTAAAAATTAAGATGCGTCTTATAGTCTCCACACAAAAAATACAGTATTTTTTGAGATATTTTGAGTAACTAATTAAAAATGGCACATTCTGTACATAAAGTTTATGTACAGGTACATTTATGTCATAAATTCAACATGCTAATAGTTTCTTCTCTAGTAAATGAGGAATATAACTATTTAAATTATAAAAAAGATTTTGGTCAAACTTAATAGACAATAAAAGTAATCTTGATATTGTGAAAGGTTTGGTTTTATTCAATTATGGCAACATGACACAAGGGCAATCTGCATAGGGAAATGTCTCCCAGGAGGTCCTTTATGGGAAACTGGCCACTATTTAGATGAAGAAAACACAGAAAACTCCATGTGGACAGCCTGTTAAAGAGGCCCAAACCAACAACCAATTACCAGTGTTCGGTGGTTTTATCCACTCGGTCACTGGTGGGCATGATATTTTGTGAAAGAATACATTTATAATTCAACTATCTTTGAACATTTTTACGAATTATATGATTTTATAAATAAATTTAACAAATTTATATTCAATTACTTTCAAATTTCTTATATATAATTTCTTTTATAGAGTAGCAAAACATTCTGATAAAAATTTAATGACGATATCAAATCTTGGAGTTTGCTTTGGTCCTACATTACTAAGACAACCAGAACAAAATGTTGCAGCCATGCTTGATATAAAATTTGGAAATATTGTTGTTGAGTTCCTCATTGAATATTGTGATAAGGTCATTTCTTTTATTGTTTCACTTAAATTATATTAGCAATTTAACATTTCAAATTAATGTAAATTTAGAAAAATATATTCTTTAATAAATGGTAGATTTTTTTGTTTTCAGATATTTGGAACAGTTCCATTAGAACAAGATAATAAAAGACCACTTCCTTCTTATGCATCATCTTCAGTAAACCATTGTCATTCTGCAATCTTTTCGGGAGAATTAACAGCACAAGTAGAAAGAATTGAAAAAGAACCTTATTGTTATGAAGATGCAGAAAGGATATCAAACAGTATTGGAAATAAAATGATGATTTCTCATCACAATTTACGTACATCCATGTCCGGAACCTTGATGGAAGAAAGTAGTAATTCAAATGCCATTTCACAAAAACACTATATAGGAAACGTCCATCCACAAAGCTTGTTCCATCCTGACCAACCCAGATCATATGCATATAAAGATTATCAAAAGGAGACTGGTGACGGTCAATATGGTAGTTTGCATTCACATAGATATCCTGCATCAGTTAAAAAGAAACCTTTAAGTGTTTATAACCCTACATTTCAAGGTATGTTAAGATTATATCTCAAATTATTTTATAAACTGAAATATATAAAAAATATATATATAAAATTTTTTCAGATAATTTGCATTATAATAATAGCACTGATTCAAACAGTTCTCGATTATCTCCATCCAGCACAAATGTAGTGCCATCTGTTTCTCATCACTCACCTTATGCCACACCTAAAACAAGCCCTAGAGGAAAGCAAATAACTAATATTAATTATGAGTCTGATTGTTTATCAACAGTTGGAGACAGTATTAGAAGTGCAGATTACAGGCATGAAAACAGAAAGGGTCCAGATGATTTTCATCCTACAAAATATGGCCATTTCTCAGGTATTATTTTGAATATTTATATTCTATTCAACTATCTCATGTAGTTACACACTGATGAAGTTTATTACAAGTATCATTCTCCTCCTCCTCCTCCTCCTCCTGGCCAATTGCCTGCAAAGTAGATGAATTATAAAGCAATTTGTGATTACTTAATGACTTGTCCTTAGGCATTTTTGGAATCTCAGGATTAATCCACTTTCCAGTTAATTGAGTCTACTGTACAATATAATATTAATTACTTTACAAAGCCAACATTATATAAATTTGACTAATAAGTTTGTAATGCAGCAATTTGGCACTATAATTATTTCAAATAGAAAGAATAAGAAGCTTAATTTACATTTAGAATTACTATATTTTTGTGCATACTACTTGCAGGGTATGTGTGTTTTGAAAAGACAATTTGAAAAAGCATGTAGGCAGGCCTGTAGCTAGAGCAGGAACAGGGATGGCTCAACCAGTCCTAGAAAATTTTGAGCCATTCCTGTCTCTTGTCCAGATGGTGATATTCTATTTGTATATTTATCTAGAAAAATATAGGGTGCCTTTTTTTAGAGGTATACAAATTTAAAATGAAATAAAACACGTAAAAATAATGCTAATGGCCATGGTGTTGGCTTTATTTAAAAGATTATTTTATGCCATTAGTGTTTAAACATGATTTCGGGCATATGGGCGCCATGGCTGGCATGAATGAAGTGCAGTCGGGAAGAACAATTTTTGTCCACTTTATTGAGCAACTGGGGCCATATATCGGCAATAACGTGGCGAATGTTGACTTCCAAGTGGTCCAACATCTGTGGTTTATCAGCACAGACTAGTGACTTCACATATCCTCAAAAAAAGTAATCCATAGGTGTGAGATCACACGATCGTGGAGGCCAGTTCACTGGTCCATTATGCGAAATTATGCGCTCATCGGATGTTTCCTGCAATAAATTGATGGTGTCGCGCACTGTGTGGCATGTTGTGCCATCTTGTTGAAACCAAGGCTCTGCCACATCAATACCATTCAACTGAGGAATAAAGAAGTCAGCAATCATGGCTCAAAAAGCGCTCGCCATTGATGGTAACATTTTGGCCGGCATCATCACCTGTCCATAAAGCACACCAGTGACTTTTAATGGATGTAAGTTACTCAACATTTGCCACGTTATTCCTGATATATGGCCGCAGTTGCTCAATAAAGTGGTTGAAAATTGTTCTTCTCGATTGTGCTTCATTCAAGCCAGCCATGGCGCCCATATGCCCGAAATCATGTTTAAACACTAATGGCATAAAATTATCTTTTAAATAAAGCCAACACCATGGCCATTAACATTATTTTTACGTGTTTTATTTCATTTTAAATTTGTATACCTCTAAAAAAAACACTCTGTATAAATAATAAACTTTTAGCATCCCACAATTTTCTAGAGCCATCCTACTGTAACTGATCTTGCTATGCCCTGCTGTGCAAGTTATGCAATGGGGTGGATTATATTAAATTAAAATTGAAAACTTTTGCCTATGGAGTAGTCATCATTATAGACATGAGTTTGCAATATCAATTAAACTTCAGAGCAAAGGTTTTATTTATATTCTAGCAGTTTTGTGTGATGTATATACCATAGCAGGTTATACTTAAGAAAACACAATATTATTCAATCTGAAATTAAACTGTTTTGCTCATCTAAGAATAATTGACAAGACAAATAAATTAAATGGATATATTTGTAAATTATTATAGCATGATTATAGCTAAAGTCACCATCAATATTATGATATAAATAGTTATAGAATTATTTAATTATCAACAAATGGAATCATTAATTTATAATAAGTATTTAATTAACATATTTTAATTAAATATAATTTCAGGTTACAGAAATTGCTTAGATATTGATAGAACAAAAAGAACAATTCAGTAAGTTAAGTTAATATTGTAATCTTTTTGGTATATGTCAATTAATTTATCAGAGCCAGAATATAATAAAGAATTAAAGTTTACAAACATAGGTTATATGGCTGATCTTATTAAACACTTTTAGATATCAACTTATATTGCTTTTATAGGAGTAAGCCAAGCTCATTTCTGTTACTACACAAGTTTTTATAAATTTATTATTCTATCTAAAGATGGAGTGAATTTTAGAGTTGATCCCAAGCTCCTCTTCTCCTTGTTAGGTGTGTGTATAACAATCTGTCAGAAAGGACACTACAACTCCCATCTTTTATTTACACAATATTTACAAAGTATAAACACAAGAACATGCCAACCTCAGTGACTAAGTAGATGAATGGAGTCTCCATATCCCAGCAGGAGAGTCTTTTCCTTATGATTTTTTGCTTTTACAGATTCTGTGGACACGACAGCCAGCCAATCTAGAGTTGGGCCATTAGCTCAATTTCAGGGCCAGAACACCTGACTAATTTTGCTAATTACAAACAAGTCTCTAACCCCTCCAGTAAAACTGATCCAGCCAAGCAGAAGACCAAAATCACTGTCCAAATCTGTTAAGCCTACTTGATTTTTGGTGTAATGCCAGCGAGGAACTTTATTAAAGACTAACAGACCTCGCCACGCGTTGTTGTGGCTCAAAATGTATCTATATAAATAAACATCAACTCACAGCCCGAGTAGATAATAACAACATCAAACGATCGCCTAATTATCGGGCTATAATATGGCCCGATAATTAGGCAATCGTTTGATGTTGTCAAAATGTATCTTAATGTATAACACTTCCCCCGTGTGGGGGGAAATTTTTTGAAAAGTTTCTTCTTAGTGTACATTCTCTTGGCATACCCTATTAAAATGCAATCAAAAACACAAAAACCCGCATCGAAAATAGTATAATAGAAGCCAAGTTCTTCAAGGTAAGCCTTAATCCTGTCCCTCTCCCCCACGGGGGGAATATTGAAAAATACCTTTTTAGTGTATATTCTGTTGACATACCCTATTAAAACGCAAACAAAAATGCAAAAAACCGCATCTAAAATAGTAGAAATAGAAGCAGAGTTCTTTACGGTAAGCCTTAATCCCTGTTCATCTCCCCCAGTGGGGGGAATTTCGACGTGTATATTACAGGTATATAAAAACACGTGCATATTCGAATTGTGTGAAAATTTCAAAGGAATTGGTAGGAACAAACAAACATTACATTTTTACTTGTTACAATTACTATCACAATGTCTGATTTGCAGAAGACTGTAGAGCCAATCATTGTTATTCATTGTGTGTGAAGCAAGAAGGCAATCTGACTTAGTATTACCATTAATGTCTCTCTTTCATTGTAAAAATGCCTATGATAATGCTTAATTTAATATTATACACTTGCTACAATGGACAAACGAATCCTGGTGATACTTTTACCTAACTTACAGCAAAATTTGATGTTCACACACTATTTTCTCTTGTTTTTAACAAAATACCTGACTGAAATAACAGTGTCATCATACCACTTACTAGTATAAGGATAGATGTGTGAAAACTTACACAGAATTAGAGAAATGAATTTAATTTACACGTATAAAAACAATGTAAGTTCATATCTGATAATATTTTTTAAATAAAGTCGGTCTTGAAACTAAAAATTTTATAAATAGTTAAAAGAAGTATTTATTTAATTGCAGAAAATCTTTGAGTAAAAACATACTTAAGAAAATTCTAACTATTTTTTAGTCTAAAATTAATTACTCTGTTTATACAGAAGTCAAACCGATTTACCTCCACCATCTATCAGCACGGGGAGGTTTGTATACAATTCGTATTAATTACAATATTGAAAAATACTTGAAAATCCATCTCTAAATATAAATATTAATTTTACATCTTTACAGGAGAGTTAGAACATTATATTCTTGTATAGGAGAAAATGAATCTGAATTATGTTTCGAACCAAATCAAGTAATCTATCATGGTGAGAATCTGAGTCTAATTTCTCTTTCTCTATTATATGACAGTTTTTTTAATATGAAATGCATATTATTTTATTTAGTGAGACCATCAAAAGAGCCAGGTTGGCTTGAAGGCTACCTCAATGGACATATTGGTCTTGTTCCGGAAAACTATGTCGAATACCTGCCATAGATTAATTATATATTCCTGTGTAAATAATTATTGGGGTTTGGATATATTTTGAAAATACTAAATGGTAAACTATATAATGTAAATTTAAATAAAAAAAAAAAAATATATATATATATATATATTACATTTAAAATATCTCTCTCCATGATAAGCCATTACCATAAGTGGTTACTGAAAAATCAGTACAGTTTTAAAACTTTAAATAAGATAGTTAGTGATAGTTTTAAATTTTCAAACTTTATATTCTTAGAGTTTGAGTTATTTTTATGATAGAAAGTTTTACCTTTTGTTAAAAATTAGATATAATCTATGTATGAGTTTGTGTATAGATCGTGGGTATTTGTGAGAGTTCATATATTATATGCAAAAGCCCAGCGATATAAAAGTCAATTATAATTGGATACTTTTGACTTTTATACAGCTAGCCTTTTACATAATAGTATTATCTTATTATAATACTAGCTTTTGGATCTTATCATATATGTATATATATATTCTTTNTTGAGTAACTAATTAAAAATGGCACATTCTGTACATAAAGTTTTAAATACTGGCCTCCCTTCAATGGTCGAGCCTGTTGCCAGCTAAAACACGCAAAAATTTAACAAATAATATTAAAGTAGCCAAGACGTAGCCAAATATTGTAGTGCCACATCACTAGTGGACATTTGAAATTTGTCGACTAGAACGGTTGGTTAACTGATGTGACGGTTAATCGGGGGTCGAATAATCGATGCTCTACTGTAGTTAATTGGAGCTTCCTACCCCTATGCTTTCCATATCTGTACTTGGTTTTAATCTATCTGACTCTGTTCTCGAGATTAAGGAAGGACAACAGACAGAGGACGACAATGGGAATTTATAGGTCTACAATTTTTTCAAATTGCAGTCCAAATATTTATTCTAGAGAGTTCGGATTGTTCATTTGGTCGAGTACTAAGTTACCACTGTAATTGAGTAATGCAATTTTGATATATACTGTAGCATCGAGAGATTAATTAATTGCATTAATCAAGGAATACCTGTATTTTATAGCTTGTGCCCCCTTTTTTTTATAGTCTGCAGGTGTCACCGATAACAGTTTTTCTTAAGCAGTTTTAAGCATAAGAATAAGATTTTTCTTATTGTTATGCTTTTAAAGAGCATAAAAATAAGATTATAATTAATTAAGGACATTGAGGCATATTAATTTAACTATTTCATATAATTTATGTTTCATTATTTTAATATAGATATTATTTACATAATATCAAATTTACTATACAGTATAATTTTGTTATTAAATTCAGGAATCTTGCTGAACCTCTGTTAACATTCAAATTACACAGTGCCTTTATAACTGCAGCAAGTATGTGAATTTACATAAATTAATTTTTTTACTTAACAAATAAAATTTATAATTATATAAAATAAATTTTTAAATTACATTTTAAAAAAGCTAAAAATAGTTTTAATTCTTTTTTCAATCTTTACTAGAACAAGATAATAAATTACAAAAGATTGCAGATATCCATGCACTGGTTTATCAGTTACCAAGAAGGAACTTTAAAATGTTAGAACTCCTCGTCAAACATCTTTGCAGGTAAAAATTCTGTCAATTATAATATATCTGTCAATTATAATTGTCACTTTATATATCATAATATATAAAGTGACCAGATTCTGAAATGTAAAAAGTGGGACATTAGGCTGGGCATTTTAACATGACATCAGATGAGTCAGGTTTTATGTATTGTGCATGTGAACAGTGCTATTTGGACATTCTGGTTCCATTGTTTTTGTCTTGTGTGCAGGCCAATCTGTAAATTAAGCTCCTGGGGTAGCTACTGTATGTGTTGTAGCTATGTCTGCAATGTGTTCTAGATTTGCCTTTGTACCTTCTGTTATATTACAATGTGTGTATGCTGCCTTCAATGCCCTTCTTATGAGGGCTTTAAAGGCAGCGATTTTATATCCAAACATTTCATTAGAATCTGCTGGTATATGTAACGGAACAAAATTTGGCTTATGGTATACATTCATATCAAAGCCGTTACCATTAAAATAAATTGAAATATTTAAAAAGTGGGCACTGGTGTTGTTCATTTGGTATAATTGTAAAAGCAAGCCTTATGGATTGTTGTTCATGGACTGGAGGAATTCATCTATGTTAGGGTTACTATTCCAAACCATACAAATATCATCAATATATCTCTTTTAATTGCAGATGTGCTGGAGGAATTTAGGTAGGACTTTGGTCTCCAAGAGTCAAATCATCATTACAGGTACGTCCCCAGATAAAGGACTACCCATGGGGACCCCTCTTTTCTGTAGGTAGATGTTTTCCTGTCAGATATAAGAGGTATAACACATCAAGTGCAATAATTTGAGGATTTGTTGATGGTATGCTGATTTCGTAACCTTCTGTATGAGCCAATCATGGAGACTACAGAAACAAGGCTCCAATCTAATGGACAGATATAATGATTTGAAGTCCAAGATGGTAATCCAAGCATTGTTGGTAATAGAGTATTGCCTTAAAACCTCTATCATTTGTATTGCATTTGACATTATAAATGGGTAGCCCTCTAGGTGCTTGCTGAGAAGGTTGCGTAGCACTGTTTCCAGTTTGCAGACCCTGTCCTGGTTCGTGTCTTCGCAAAAGCAAATAAGTGAAATATATCAGGTGAATCAACTACTGTTTTACTTGCAAATTTCTTTACTCTAGCTTGCATACAATCTATATAATCTTCTTGAATCTTTTCACATTCTGTTTCATTTATGTAATTTAGTAATGTTCTTCTATAAGAAGCTCATTTCATCAAAACTATAGACCTGTTCTTATCTGCTTTTAACAGGACAATGTTGTTCTCCTCCAACCACTTTTTTCATCCTTCTGGGATAAACATAAGGCTAGTGTGTTTGATATTTTAATTACCTGCCTGGTTTCTAGAAGATTGACACATTTAAGGATGCATACTGTATTTTACAGACTATAAGACGCACTTTTTTTCTTTGAAAAATTGCCTCCAAAATTCAGGTGCATCTTATACTCGAAATTAATATAAAAATGTCCAGTGTTTGATTTAAAATTCCCGCCAGTCTTAAAAATGGCCATATATTTGATGCCACGGAAAACCTATCTCTATCTGGCAACATTGAATTCAACTGGTAGCAGCAGTGCACCGATGCGACAAACATGAGTTGCGGGAATTCACAAGCTTGCTAACACCGTCTCCCTCCCGCCCTGCCATCACAAACCCAGAACACTGTCTAGCCTATGACGCGTCATTGCAGTCTATGGTGCCAGTGAACTTGAATTGAAAGTGATTTGTGTTATCGTTAACAGTACAATATTTTTGTTAGTAGCTAACAAAAATAATGGTAAAAATGTTATTTTTTTAAAAAATTGCTTAAAAATTAAGATGCGTCTTATAGTCTCCACACAAAAAATACAGTATTTTTTGAGATATTTTGAGTAACTAATTAAAAATGGCACATTCTGTACATAAAGTTTATGTACAGGTACATTTATGTCATAAATTCAACATGCTAATAGTTTCTTCTCTAGTAAATGAGGAATATAACTATTTAAATTATAAAAAAGATTTTGGTCAAACTTAATAGACAATAAAAGTAATCTTGATATTGTGAAAGGTTTGGTTTTATTCAATTATGGCAACATGACACAAGGGCAATCTGCATAGGGAAATGTCTCCCAGGAGGTCCTTTATGGGAAACTGGCCACTATTTAGATGAAGAAAACACAGAAAACTCCATGTGGACAGCCTGTTAAAGAGGCCCAAACCAACAACCAATTACCAGTGTTCGGTGGTTTTATCCACTCGGTCACTGGTGGGCATGATATTTTGTGAAAGAATACATTTATAATTCAACTATCTTTGAACATTTTTACGAATTATATGATTTTATAAATAAATTTAACAAATTTATATTCAATTACTTTCAAATTTCTTATATATAATTTCTTTTATAGAGTAGCAAAACATTCTGATAAAAATTTAATGACGATATCAAATCTTGGAGTTTGCTTTGGTCCTACATTACTAAGACAACCAGAACAAAATGTTGCAGCCATGCTTGATATAAAATTTGGAAATATTGTTGTTGAGTTCCTCATTGAATATTGTGATAAGGTCATTTCTTTTATTGTTTCACTTAAATTATATTAGCAATTTAACATTTCAAATTAATGTAAATTTAGAAAAATATATTCTTTAATAAATGGTAGATTTTTTTGTTTTCAGATATTTGGAACAGTTCCATTAGAACAAGATAATAAAAGACCACTTCCTTCTTATGCATCATCTTCAGTAAACCATTGTCATTCTGCAATCTTTTCGGGAGAATTAACAGCACAAGTAGAAAGAATTGAAAAAGAACCTTATTGTTATGAAGATGCAGAAAGGATATCAAACAGTATTGGAAATAAAATGATGATTTCTCATCACAATTTACGTACATCCATGTCCGGAACCTTGATGGAAGAAAGTAGTAATTCAAATGCCATTTCACAAAAACACTATATAGGAAACGTCCATCCACAAAGCTTGTTCCATCCTGACCAACCCAGATCATATGCATATAAAGATTATCAAAAGGAGACTGGTGACGGTCAATATGGTAGTTTGCATTCACATAGATATCCTGCATCAGTTAAAAAGAAACCTTTAAGTGTTTATAACCCTACATTTCAAGGTATGTTAAGATTATATCTCAAATTATTTTATAAACTGAAATATATAAAAAATATATATATAAAATTTTTTCAGATAATTTGCATTATAATAATAGCACTGATTCAAACAGTTCTCGATTATCTCCATCCAGCACAAATGTAGTGCCATCTGTTTCTCATCACTCACCTTATGCCACACCTAAAACAAGCCCTAGAGGAAAGCAAATAACTAATATTAATTATGAGTCTGATTGTTTATCAACAGTTGGAGACAGTATTAGAAGTGCAGATTACAGGCATGAAAACAGAAAGGGTCCAGATGATTTTCATCCTACAAAATATGGCCATTTCTCAGGTATTATTTTGAATATTTATATTCTATTCAACTATCTCATGTAGTTACACACTGATGAAGTTTATTACAAGTATCATTCTCCTCCTCCTCCTCCTCCTCCTGGCCAATTGCCTGCAAAGTAGATGAATTATAAAGCAATTTGTGATTACTTAATGACTTGTCCTTAGGCATTTTTGGAATCTCAGGATTAATCCACTTTCCAGTTAATTGAGTCTACTGTACAATATAATATTAATTACTTTACAAAGCCAACATTATATAAATTTGACTAATAAGTTTGTAATGCAGCAATTTGGCACTATAATTATTTCAAATAGAAAGAATAAGAAGCTTAATTTACATTTAGAATTACTATATTTTTGTGCATACTACTTGCAGGGTATGTGTGTTTTGAAAAGACAATTTGAAAAAGCATGTAGGCAGGCCTGTAGCTAGAGCAGGAACAGGGATGGCTCAACCAGTCCTAGAAAATTTTGAGCCATTCCTGTCTCTTGTCCAGATGGTGATATTCTATTTGTATATTTATCTAGAAAAATATAGGGTGCCTTTTTTTAGAGGTATACAAATTTAAAATGAAATAAAACACGTAAAAATAATGCTAATGGCCATGGTGTTGGCTTTATTTAAAAGATTATTTTATGCCATTAGTGTTTAAACATGATTTCGGGCATATGGGCGCCATGGCTGGCATGAATGAAGTGCAGTCGGGAAGAACAATTTTTGTCCACTTTATTGAGCAACTGGGGCCATATATCGGCAATAACGTGGCGAATGTTGACTTCCAAGTGGTCCAACATCTGTGGTTTATCAGCACAGACTAGTGACTTCACATATCCTCAAAAAAAGTAATCCATAGGTGTGAGATCACACGATCGTGGAGGCCAGTTCACTGGTCCATTATGCGAAATTATGCGCTCATCGGATGTTTCCTGCAATAAATTGATGGTGTCGCGCACTGTGTGGCATGTTGTGCCATCTTGTTGAAACCAAGGCTCTGCCACATCAATACCATTCAACTGAGGAATAAAGAAGTCAGCAATCATGGCTCAAAAAGCGCTCGCCATTGATGGTAACATTTTGGCCGGCATCATCACCTGTCCATAAAGCACACCAGTGACTTTTAATGGATGTAAGTTACTCAACATTTGCCACGTTATTCCTGATATATGGCCGCAGTTGCTCAATAAAGTGGTTGAAAATTGTTCTTCTCGATTGTGCTTCATTCAAGCCAGCCATGGCGCCCATATGCCCGAAATCATGTTTAAACACTAATGGCATAAAATTATCTTTTAAATAAAGCCAACACCATGGCCATTAACATTATTTTTACGTGTTTTATTTCATTTTAAATTTGTATACCTCTAAAAAAAACACTCTGTATAAATAATAAACTTTTAGCATCCCACAATTTTCTAGAGCCATCCTACTGTAACTGATCTTGCTATGCCCTGCTGTGCAAGTTATGCAATGGGGTGGATTATATTAAATTAAAATTGAAAACTTTTGCCTATGGAGTAGTCATCATTATAGACATGAGTTTGCAATATCAATTAAACTTCAGAGCAAAGGTTTTATTTATATTCTAGCAGTTTTGTGTGATGTATATACCATAGCAGGTTATACTTAAGAAAACACAATATTATTCAATCTGAAATTAAACTGTTTTGCTCATCTAAGAATAATTGACAAGACAAATAAATTAAATGGATATATTTGTAAATTATTATAGCATGATTATAGCTAAAGTCACCATCAATATTATGATATAAATAGTTATAGAATTATTTAATTATCAACAAATGGAATCATTAATTTATAATAAGTATTTAATTAACATATTTTAATTAAATATAATTTCAGGTTACAGAAATTGCTTAGATATTGATAGAACAAAAAGAACAATTCAGTAAGTTAAGTTAATATTGTAATCTTTTTGGTATATGTCAATTAATTTATCAGAGCCAGAATATAATAAAGAATTAAAGTTTACAAACATAGGTTATATGGCTGATCTTATTAAACACTTTTAGATATCAACTTATATTGCTTTTATAGGAGTAAGCCAAGCTCATTTCTGTTACTACACAAGTTTTTATAAATTTATTATTCTATCTAAAGATGGAGTGAATTTTAGAGTTGATCCCAAGCTCCTCTTCTCCTTGTTAGGTGTGTGCATAACAATCTGTCAGAAAGGACACTACAACTCCCATCTTTTATTTACACAATATTTACAAAGTATAAACACAAGAACATGCCAACCTCAGTGACTAAGTAGATGAATGGAGTCTCCATATCCCAGCAGGAGAGTCTTTTCCTTATGATTTTTTGCTTTTACAGATTCTGTGGACACGACAGCCAGCCAATCTAGAGTTGGGCCATTAGCTCAATTTCAGGGCCAGAACACCTGACTAATTTTGCTAATTACAAACAAGTCTCTAACCCCTCCAGTAAAACTGATCCAGCCAAGCAGAAGACCAAAATCACTGTCCAAATCTGTTAAGCCTACTTGATTTTTGGTGTAATGCCAGCGAGGAACTTTATTAAAGACTAACAGACCTCGCCACGCGTTGTTGTGGCTCAAAATGTATCTATATAAACAAACATCAACTCACAGCCCGAGTAGATAATAACAACATCAAACGATCGCCTAATTATCGGGCTATAATATGGCCCGATAATTAGGCAATCGTTTGATGTTGTCAAAATGTATCTTAATGTATAACACTTCCCCCGTGTGGGGGGAAATTTTTTGAAAAGTTTCTTCTTAGTGTACATTCTCTTGGCATACCCTATTAAAATGCAATCAAAAACACAAAAACCCGCATCGAAAATAGTATAATAGAAGCCAAGTTCTTCAAGGTAAGCCTTAATCCTGTCCCTCTCCCCCACGGGGGGAATATTGAAAAATACCTTTTTAGTGTATATTCTGTTGACATACCCTATTAAAACGCAAACAAAAATGCAAAAAACCGCNAAAGTACGATCCACTAACAGGCCAAGTTTAATTATAAGAAACAAAAATAAAATCAAAAGCTTGGGAATTGCAATAAAATCTCTCCTCTCATCTTGTATTTCTAACTTTTAGTGAATATGGTTCATCTGCTAGAATTATGCTATTGGTATTTTAATATATTTAAAAAAATTGTTTAGGACTTGTAAAAGCTGCACTATTAAACAAACATCAAATTAAATTCTGTAGTCTGTTCAACATAAAATTAGAGTTGACTGTTAAAGAATTAAATATTAATTAAATTTCCAAATACAAGCTAATCAAAAATGAAACGGAAAGATCGATTTAAATAAGCTTCATTAATATTAATATTTTCAAGCTATGAATTATACAGAAATTCACTTTATGAAAACAAACTGTTACTCTTTTACAGGGGTCCTTTTTTTATTTTAATGTATAAAAAACATTTATTGAGCTTTGCTAGCTCATCATCATCAAGACTCAAACATTTTTATATATTAAAAATAAAAAAGAACCTCTGTAAAACGGTGGTTTGTTTTCTTAAAGTAAATTAATGATAGCGTCAAAAATTAATGATGATTATTCAGAAATAAATTTAAGAGTAACACAGTACAAGACTAATAAATAACACTTTTTGCCCATGACTATAAATTAGACAGAGTTAGACAACCTAATAAATAGGGTATAAGAATTTGCAGGTTTATCACACCAAGGCCGACTGAAAGAAGGACCAGAACTTTTATAAAAAAAGGATTGGTCTTTAATAATCACATTTCAAATTTAGGTAAGTATGCATTTCAGTTACAAGGACCCCTCATCAGCTTACAAACACATGGTAACAACGTAACAAATACAATACCAATAACCTGCCAATACAACAGGATAACCAACATATGCAGTGAACTGCATATGTTGGTTATCCTGTTGTATTGGCAGTTTAAAGTTCTGGTCCTTCTTTCAGTCGGCCTTGGTGTGATAAGCGCTGTAAATTGTTATACCCTATTTATTAGGTTGTCTAACTCTGTCTAATTTAACAGTACAAGCATTTTATACTGTTGTTAATCTCTTATAGTAAAGTATATTGAGACGATGATCCTAATTTGCTAGATCATGGATTCAAATTCTATTTTGTTAGCAGATATATTTTTATTTAGTGGAATTTAACAAGGATTGTCATTTGGAAGAAGCTCCAGCTGTAGAGAATAGTACTGTCTATTATTTTCTTTATTTGTTCTTATAGGAAGACCACGAACGTATGTATGACGTATGCAATAATTTTATTCTATAATAAGCATTTCGAGTGTTTTAGCACTCCTCATCAGTCATTGATTATCATCGTCAAAGTTGTACCAAATGTTTTTCTATCCAAAAATTTATTTAAAATATTTTATTGAATAGAAGAACGTACAGAAAGTGCATGTCATAGAACAAAGTCGTTGCATCAAGTCATGCATTGGTTCATGGTCTTCCTAGAGAACAAATAAAAAAACAAAAAAGCACACTATATAATTTGAGGCATTGCACTTATTCAAATAAATATAAAAAAAACATTGAATTTATTTCTCTCTCTAACAGCAGATCAAGCTTATACTGTACAGACTACAAACATAATATTTAATGATATTTAATGCATTTAACATGTTTATGATCTTACAGAAAAAAAAAATTTAAAAATTAATCTGCACAAGTTTTAGTGGATGCTAGATTATATCATCATGTCTGTAAAAAGAGAAATTAATTTTTAAAAAATTGTATATATTACCATCTCTACTTATATGGCTGAAGTGATTAACGATTACAATGCGGTATATTCAGACTGCGTAAAATCATATAAGATTAATAACATTTTCCAGTTTATTATTTTAATCTAGAATGGTCAGAATGAGTGCAATTAGGACGTTTACAATTATAAACTGTTATCAATGGTGCTTTTTGAATTGAATTTTTGGCACATTTTTTCGCTCACAATTTATTCTAGTTATATTTCTATCAAATGAAATTTCACAATCTTCTTGAAAGCAAACACTTTAGTTATATTAAGTAATTGCTTAATGATCAGTGAGAAGATTTTAAACATCTCTTCATTAGAATACGGTAAGAAATTTCGTTATGTATACATATTAAGGACGTAATTTTAGTTGTAAATTATTATTTGGATAAGGCATTTTCTCTAATAGCAAATATGCATATATAAATTCATCTATATATTGCTAAATATAAGAGAATAATAATAATCATAATAATAGAACTGTTTATTGGCAAAATAATGCAGATACTCTTGAATCAGAATGTGATTGATATACATTAAGAATGCATTGCTATATTAATTTCTATACATTAAATTATTACATAAATGTGCATCATTCGCCAATCCATTAATTTCTTCATTAGCTTTGGTGCTTATCCATAGAATGTTGCGGTTAACAACATTCTATGGATTGATAATTAAAACTATACTACTAATTTTGCTTCAAACACTATTTAAATGAGGCAAAAGTTTAATTTTTTTGAGTTATAATTCATTCCCTAACCTTTATAAATGTGAAACAAATGCATTATCGCATAATACTTAAAGGAAATAGTAATTAAATGCTTAAAAAGTGATGGATCAAATCAAATCAATTTACTATTTTAAATCATATATTATTTAAATTTGTAAAGGAAAAAAATTAATATTAATATTTCAAGAATTTGAACAAAATTCAAAGACCAAAATTTACAAAATAAACTTTATCTATAATAATATTTTTTATGATAAATAAAATAACCTTTTTATTGTAGTTAGCGAAAAATAAATAAATATATACTTTATTAATATATAAAATTAAAAACATGTAAATATATATAAATAAAAAATTTCAGATTTTTCTGTTATATTTAATTGAAAATTAACATGTAATTAAAGAAATAAGTACAAAAATTGCAATAGGTAATCGAACTGTGATAAACAAAGTATTTTGAGTTACATAAAAGTAATGTGATGAACTAAAAATGATAATAATAATAAAAAAAGGAGCTATGTTTTATTATAAAAGTAATTTTTGAAAAGATACGACAAACTTTAAATATTTTCAAATCTAAAATTCTTCATTCTAAAATATCTATAAAATGATATTTTATTTGAAAACTTGTTAAGTATCTAAAGATCTCTAAAAATTATTAAAAAAAAACAAAATATTAAGGATAAAAGATAAAGTTATAGTTGCCCGAAGGCTACTGTCCAGCATGATAACTTGAATATATGACAGTCAATGATCTATTCTTGTTTATAATTTACGAATAACTAGCCGCTATGATTACTCGGGTGAATTAATCAATGTATCTTTAACAGTTGGCAGAGTTTAAAGATGTTTTCAACCGTTAGACAGGCCATCTTCGGGTGTGGACGGTGGAAAGTGGTATCAACTCCATTTTCAACTCTCCATGTTGAAAGCATTATCATTCTTTAAAATTCATTCTGTTAAAGAAGTGATTAATTCAATTGTTTTTTAATTTGCAGATGTTATAAGGTCAAGGTTGCATCATTAATAAATAAGCGTTACTAAAACTTTGTCATATAATGCATCACGTTCCTTGATTCTATTCAATTCTCTTGGATGTCAATACAGTCTGATTAAGTAATTTAACAAGCTGAAGACTTTAATTAGTTGAAAAATATACAGGATGCCCGTAAAGTTACTGTGCAGTGAGAAATTTGTAATGACATCAAAGTTATATGTATTGCATATAAGACCTGTAAGTTGTTCGTAATACTGTACGGGCAACTAACAGGTTTTGTGTGCAATGTGATACATATAACTTTAACGTCATTACAAATTTCTCACCGTACAGTAACTTTACGAACACCCCGTACAAAAAAATTGGCCTGTAATTTCTGACTGTTTAGTCGATCGTTATCAATTTCATTATTTAAATAAATAATAATTAAACGCCCTTTTTTTCGTATTACACACACTATCGAAAACATACAGAACTATCTTAATTATATGGAGACTCGTACGATCACGATGCCGCCGATATTCAAGTTATCACACGTGGACGGTAAACTATGGAATTCCTCAATTATTTGGTATTGGCTTGTCGTTAATTAAATATATTTTTTCAATATAATCGAACCCTAGTAATTATTAATCACAATTATTAACACGCAACTGTATTAAGGAAAGTTCGAGTGCCTAGGAAATTTGCCAATAAGGGGGTATCAACAGAAGATAAACTGAAAAAAAAAAAAAAAAGAGATGAATTTAGATATAAAAGAAAATTTTATTGAAATTCTCTCTCAAAATCATAATTTTCAGTAGATTAGTACAAATATATGTTTCAAGTAATCATGTCTATTGCTAGATCGATTGAATGTCTATTTTGATGGAAAGAATAAGATAAAAATAGATAGTAAATCTATAAAAAGATAAAATACAAAGTATCATCTCTATTCTAGATGTATTCATTCTGTCACACCATTTGTGAATATTGCATATCTCTAGACCAAAAGAAAAAAAAAGAACTCAAGATCTATGAATTTAATCTAGAGAATACATATATAAATACATATATGTATAAAATTGTCAATAGTAACTAAAGACGAGTCGATAATTGTAAATTGGTGAACTCGATTTATGACGTATAATGTTTCGGTACATTATAGTTGAGATTGACTTGAATGTGAATCGGTGTTATTCTATTTGATATATTTTTTGCATGTATGTGATGTGTATAAAAAAAAAAATAATAATAATAAAAATACTAATGTAAAAGAAAGGAATCTTTTAATGTACTTTGTGTCATTTATGTAACGAGTTACAAGGTGCAATGTCTTAACATCATTCTTGCAACGTGAGGTAAGCCAACNTATATTATGGTGGAAATCAAATTTTTATCATGAAAAAGATTCTATTTAAATATATTGTATGTTTTTGCTTTTCTGTAATTCTGTTAAAAAAAAAGATACACCAATGTACAGAAATATTATTTGTGTATATCTATATTTATTCATTTTAACAATTTGAAAATATAAATTCAATATATTATGCCGTTTTTAATTAACATTTCATACATATTACAAATAGAACCGCTTGGAATTATTGGGAAGTTCGATACCGCTGTTCGTTCTAATGGCGTTAAATGTCCGGTATTTAATATGCAAGGTGTCCGAAAAGAATGGATGCCTTTTGAACAGTTAGTTCCATGTTTTCTCAATATAATTAAACCTATAATAATGGTCTCGGTGGCCATTTTTTAATAACAAGACAGCATACAAAATAACCTCCAAACTCTATTTAAAGAATAAGTATGTGCTGCTTATCAACACGTTAAACTCGATATTTTCAAACATGCACAATACAGTTTATAACAAAATATCACGCCATACGTGCAGCAGGAGACATGTCAATTTTAACATTTGCTTCCATACATACAAGTTGTTTCTTACTTAGCGGAATAACTCGTGTAAGAATACCTAAAGATTTTAAAATTAATTTTCAAATAAGTCAATTTTATTTAAAATAAAATCCATGCATAACATCAGATTTCTGAAAACATGTTTCATTTATATTTGCCAAAAGAAATTTTGGTACAATCAAAGTACATCTTGTCGTTAATCATTAATGATGCATTTAAACAATTTTCTAATTAAATTCCATCGCATAAGTTATAATAAATATTTACATAACTTCATCACAATGACTAACGTTATGAGCAAACAATTTTCTATGTCGATGCATGTTTTATTCAAAATAACAATGAAGATATGTACAAAACTATTATTTACTACTATATACAAAAAGAAAACTCTTAACATTTCCTATTTTCATCATCACGATCATCACTTTTCTTTTTCAGTAATGTTCCAGCTATGATACCACCAAACAGAATAAATCCTATCCTTTTGTTACTTTGAAACTTTTTAGAACAATCTCGTGGATTGTTAATATCAAGTGTAATAACCTAGAATTTAATAATTTATAAGTATAAATGAATAAATTAATTAATTTTTCCATAATGCATCATACCTGATTAGCAATGTGAGCAGCAGCGAGACCAACGGCTGCGTAATACGGCCAGGTTTGTTCTGCACATATGCCTGACAGCAAAAGTAAACTAACCATAGAAGTGCCAAATCCTATTAACCAGTTTTTTGTATTTTCCCCAAATTTAATAGCAGTTGATTTAAGACTAATCATCATGTCATCTTTTATATCCTAAATAAAAATGTTATTATAAAATCCAATAATGCATTTAGAAAAATAATAAATATTTAAAATAAACATACTTGATGTGCATAAATGGTATCATAAATCATAGTCCAACAAATTCCGGCTCCATATAACGGAAGGACAATGGACCAGTTGATTGAATTATGTACGGCCGACCAACCCATGAGAGTACCCCAGTTAAACGTCAGTCCTATAATTTATAACAATAAAGGAAATTTAAAATTTTAAAACGACTTAATTATTTTGAAATTCTAACAAGAAGAGCTGTCGTCATCGTATGCACCTAGAAATATTTGAGGCCAATACGTGATTCTTTTCATAAGCGGATACGTTACTATAAGCGGAATTGAACAAACTCCGAGGAAAATACTGAAATATAAAAGTTTTTAATTTATAAAAGTATCTTTTATATTAAATAAATACATCAATTAAATTTTATTACCTGTACCAATTTAATTGTAACAGTATCAGAAGACCTAAAGATAATTCTGCACCTAAAAAAACCAAAGCATTGAACATGCTTATTTCACCACATGCTAAAGGCCTCTGTTGCGTTCGTTCGACCTATAATTTATCTTTAATTTAATGTAGAATAGAAGAAATTAATGTTGTAAAAATATACCTAAATAGATATAATATATACTTTTGCATCATATTTCCTATCCCACATGTCATTAATCGTGCAACCAGCACCACGAAGTAATAAGGCACCTACACCAAAGAGTAACAGAAGCCTAGGATCAGGAAATTGTTCTGGAGATGAAGCCATGCTTATACTCCACCATCCTGGATACAGCAATAACCATGTACCTAAGAGAGAATAATATATGTTGTTTAGAGAAAAACGGAATATCAGATTCCCGGTTAGAACAGAATTAATGCTAATGATATGATCCTGACAATATAATTAACAAATATAAATATATTTTAAGAGTTAAATCATAGAAAAAAATAGTTTGTCTGCAATTTTTATGAGATATAAGGTCGTTTCACAAGTGCGTGTGACAAAGTAATGTTGTGATGTTTCGTGGTTGCTAGCCCGTCTATGGGCTTATAGAATTGAGCTTGTTTTCAAAATTTAATGGGCCAATTTTGATAAAACTTTGCCATTTTCCATTAATTGAGACGAGGAATTCGGAAATGTAATTTGGGGCTATTTAAATGTAAAAAAATCCAACAATGCGTTGCTTAACTTTCCCGGCAACATTTGGTGGTGCCATTTGTTATGATATTTCATTAAAAACTTTTTATATTTTTAATGATTATAAAATGCAAAAAGCTTAATTCTGAGGGTAGGGATGGGTTTTATTAAAACAATGTAAATGCTAATAATGAATAAAACCATCATTAAGTCTGACCCTACTGGAGATATGACACGACTCCCTATATCTTCCCACCCTGTTGACCTTAACCTCTTTTGTAGCAACAAGTGCAAAGTTCACCTGTCTGCATCCGTGATACAAGAATCGCCACTTCTATGCCTAATGCTGGCTCTTCACTTAGTGCAATCGCATCGCCATCACCCAATGATTGATTCAGCAATGCAATCGCTGTCCTACATGTCTACACTGTGCAAAATGGAAGGCGATTTGCAATGAATCATGAGAATTTTCTAAAGCATTCAACTTAAAATAAAGTTTTATATTTTTTTCATACAGTAGACCCCCCTATAAAACGGGTTCGTATAGTTCGGATTCCTATATGACGGCAAAAAAATTGCGACTGTATTCGTATAAACACACTAAAAGAGACTCATATAATTCAGTAAAACGTCATCTTCGACTCGTGTCGCGACAGGATTGATCGAATCTAGACCAATAGCAGATATTGCACAAACCATTGAGTTTAAACGAGCAGCGGACCTACTAAACCATTTATTATTCAACATCCATAAAAATTATATTTATATTAATGATGTCTCCAAAGTTCAGCAAAGTTTTTGCAAAAAAATAATTTATCAGGAAGCACGCGAGTGCCATTCGATGTGCCACTCCATGACAAAAACAAGCTTAATTAAGCAATGGCGTCGTTGAACGGTGCACGCTTGGTAAGTAATCCTACAATTTTTTGTTTATAGCATAGTTTATATGGATTATTCCCAAAAAAATTAAATGTATTTTGGAAATGTTGAGTCGAATTAGTCTAGAATCGATTAATTTTATGGAAGAAAACCTTTCAAACAGCCATAGTCCGTAAACTGCATACGTGCCGGGCTGTGATTGGCTCATGTATTTAAGGACTCGCAGAACATCAATTTCATAAAGAACGGAACGTATCTACCATGTTATAGGGGGTCGACTGTATTTTCGAAATTTCCACACCGCACTATATATAGTGCTAAGGATGATGGGAAAAATATGATGTCATGTATGCTTAGAATTATGGATGCTGCATACTAATTGGCTGTAACACAATCTCCAGGCAAAAATATACATTGCCCCACTACTTGAAAATGATTTTCCTGTGCATGAGCAATGACAAAGGCAATTGAACTGCTTCCAAATCATGCTACATGAAGTGCCAGCATAACGGGGGCAGACATCGCTTCTTTCTTTCTGGGTCCACCTCAATTCTATTCCAATATGAGAAAGTTGCGCGATATCTTAGTATTATTTATTATTAAGCCTTTGCTTTTTTATAAATTTTTTGAGGGTAGAGATGAGTTTTAGTAATATAAATAAGTGCTTCCTTGTAGTATTCATGATATAACAAAATTAACTACACTTCAAGCTTTATTACTTGGTATAAAGTGTAGTTAATTTTATTATATCAGAAATGAGTTTCTAAAATTATTGTAAATGCCAATAATAAGTAAAATTTTAAGTCCAGCCCCACTATCACTCCACCTTGAGTTCCATACTCCAAAATTTAATAGCATCAACGTCACCTATATATAAGTTACCATGCCAAATATTGCTTCTTAATCTTTACCCCATCCCAAGATATTGAACAAAATGGATGCCAATACATACCACGTATACACCCCCACACAAGAAGTATGTTGGATAACCAAAACTAAAGAATAAAAATATTGAATAAAGTAGACTAGCTACTTGTGTAACATTAGAAATTAGAATAAAAATTTACTAAGAAATATTTATATGACAAATTTCGGAGTGTATATATCTTGTCCTCCTCACTGAAGATGACTTTCTACTTAAATTAAACCCACTCCAGGAGGATGTTTTTAACAATTCTAACAACTCTAATTGGAATATAGTGAGGAATACAGTCTCACTTTGAATGTAAAGAAAACTTAAGTAAATTATTAAGGATATCAGCAGTAACAATAATAAAGCTTTATAGTTTTTCAACTAAAGATAAACAAGTTGAGAAAGTACAAAGATATGTCTACTCAGGTACTGTGATCAATGCAAACAATGATCGTACAGAAGAAATAAGAGTGAAGATAGAAAAAGCAAGAGTTAATTTTCTTAAAATGAAGAAAGTATTCTGCAGTAAAGATTTAAACTTAAAATTAACAATACACTTAGTGAGGTGCTATATATTCAGTATACTCCTGTACGGAATGGAAACCTGGACATTAAAGAAGGCCAACTTAAAGAAACTTGACTGTTTTGAACTATGGATATACAGAAGAATATTGAAAATACATATGGACAGATAAAATTACCAATTTGGAGATACTAAGACAAATTAGAAAAAATAAAGAAACAACATTGAACATTAAAAGATGAAAACGTCAGTACCTGTGCCACATCATAAGAGGAGAAGTATAGTCTTCTGCAAGTGATAATTTAAAGAAAAATAAAAGATAGAAATAGAGAAAAGAGAATATCATGGCTGAGCAACTTGCAACAATGATATGACAGTAGTTCCAGCCGATCTTTCAGAGCAGCAGCGTCAAAAGAGAAGATAGCTATGATGATTGCCAACCTTCAAAACAGAGATGGCACTTGAAGAAGAAGATAATATTTAAACAGTTCCTAATTACAGATCATATCAACATATGGAAAGACAAATTCAAAAACGTGACCAGGTATGCAGAGAAATTAATGGCAACATACTTCACAAGCAATTGTGCTTCCTATCTCAAACTTGCCATAGAAATGGTAATAGGGTTTTTAAACTATACATCATCTCTACTTATAAAAACAAATTTTCAAATGGCTATTGCTTTTTATCTGCACTTCATAATCTCATAAAACTATTATTTATATTATGTACTATTCACACACAGTTTGAAAACATAGGTTAAATATCCTTACACTAATAATTCGAGTGTAGTTTTACAGTTACAAATGCAGATCTGAATGAGGCAGTAGGGATCTTATAAGAACTGTACACTGTGCATATAAGAGTAAAAAAGTCAAAGGAACCAATTGTCTACATGTAACACTCTGAGGATAAGATGTGAACCATGAATGAGAGGTTTCCCACTCCAGAATTGTTAACCCCCTGCATGAGCAAAAAAGTCACAGAAGCCATACCTGTACATGTGACCCTTTGCAAGATATTTGCCTCCAAAGATCAGTTTTTATCTTGTACCAGTATATTGCCTATTCTCTGTGCCCTGCATGTAGTCATATGCTTCGATGCTTGACATCGCTTGCACCTCAACACCTGCCTGCTGGATAGCCCCCACAGCCCCTAAGACTACGTAACATCAAGTACTCCACAATCAAGTGGGCTACTCCAAGCCGGCACAGTCACACGGGCTAAATAGTCAAATGCAACAGTCTTAGCAGAGTGATGCAACTTGTGATCACACGCGACACGGAAGTAGGTGGCCATATCTGGTGAATGGTGGTTATTTTGGCATTTTTACTCATATAGGTGTGGCATAGAGCTCCGATAACGTCCCAACGTCATTTGGAGTTGCATCTGTTTTACGTTTACTGTGAATTATATTTTACTGCAACAAAAATTTCAAAAGATAAGTACATGCGTACCAATCGGTTTATCCAATCTCATCAGGCGTAAGTATGGTTGTAATTTATTCGGTGCATTGTTTACTATTTTCTGTATCGCCGTCAGCTCCGTTAGCAGACTTTTACTACTAGAAGACGAACGTAGAAAAGTATTTCTATCCGAGAACCGTTCGAATCTTTTATATTTCGCATCATAGAAATAACATGGAGTTACAAAGTGCCATGTCTTCGCGGGAAATCGACAAATTCTCGATATCAAAAAAGCCGACATTCTTTACTTCTTCCCGCGTTATTCATTGTAAAATATCTAAAGTAAAAAATGATAAAAAATTAGATTCAAGTAAAAAAATTAATAACGATATAATCGAATAATATGGATAATTACAATACGTAAAACATTCTGAAATAGCATTACTTGTCCTTGAGCCAAGGCACAACATATTGCATCAACCATGCCGTTTTTTCGTTTTATTATAAGTGTTGCCAACTTAAGATTATTTTGAAATTAATCATTTTCTTTTATAAGAAACATTTTTATAGCCGTTATTTATTATTTTTTCCTTCTTTGGTCATATGGGCATTAAAATGGTATTTTTCATACCCATTGTTGTTTTTTTTTTTTAAATTCTGCCCTGTGAATACAAGGGCGCGTTCGGAAATTGTAACCGGTGCTACCGGTAACACCGGTTACAATTTCCGAACGCGCCTTAAGAAAATCCTTTTTAAAAATTATGGGTTCGGCCGGGTCTACAATTGAGCGTCCAATGAGGGACGGGCTCGATTTATCCGAACAGATCACTCCAAAAACTTTTGGGATTTTTTAGCCGTCTGGATTCGATTTCGGTTTTCTAGAACGATGGTTGCCACTTTAAGCAATCGACTATCGGGCCGTCGAGCTATCGTAAATCGCGGCGAGGGACGGGGCCCGATATATCTGGGGCAGAATACTCCCGAAAAATTTCTAGTGTTTTCCCCCGACCGCTTGGATTCAGTGAATTCAAAAACAAATCTGAACTTTCAGCTAACGTATGCACAGAAGAATACGAGAAAGATTAGCGATTCTATTACACTTTGCTTCATTACAACACTTTGGTACATTGTTGACGCGAACCCGTTGTAACAGAAACAAAAATCCGTTCCACAAGTGGGCACATTTCTATAGCACTTTTTGCTATGTGAGTGATAGTGAGAAAACTTGCAACTTGACAACAACATAAAAGAAACCTGTATACACTTTAAGAAACTAAATTTGGCACGATAGCTTGTGTGTAATGCTGTTTTAATCTTCGGTGGTACAGAGGGTTGTCACGTATCATATCTCGAGAGCGGTCGCATTTCATGAAGATGTTATGCGAATGCGAATATGAGTTAATAGGTGTTGTCTATGTGCAAACCTTCATCTGCAGTCGCGGCAGGTGAAAGGTTTCTCTCCAGAATAAATCCTGGCGTAGTGCCTTGGTAAAGCGAAAGTCCAATTAAATCTTCTAGAGCATAAGTGACAAGAGAACGGCCTCTCTGGCGTGAATCCTCCGATGACTTTCTAATGCGGACTTAAAAAAGAATTCTTTGTCACAAATTCCATAGAGAAATCTCTTCTTTGGGTTTTGCTTGGCGAAACTATGAAAAAATTCAAACCAAAATATTGAATTTCAGTTTGAACTTTCAAAAGCAATTATAAAAAATACTGCCAAAAAAAGAGAAATGCACGATGTGAAATTTGAATCGGATGAAGTTTTTAGTGATTTGATTGATGATCGGAAAAGATAATGTATTTCCACATTATAACCTTGTTGCGGTTCAAATGTCTTCCTCGTCTCAAAAGAAACTTTGGATCCAAAGACACGGACTAAAAGTGAATTCGAACCTTTCAACCGGTCGCTCGACCAGCCACGGGAATTGAAGAAACATTTTCCAATTTAAAATTGAGTAAAATGTTCGTTAAATTCACGAAATCCATTAATATAATTATTAGATTATCGAATAAAACATTTAAAATACTCTACGCAATTCAGACGACGTGGAATATCCACGTTTGAAACGTTCGTCTCGTCCCATAAATTCGATGTTCCTCGTCGACATTTTCTTTTTTCCCACAAAACTTCTTCATTTCTGAATTACAAAAGTCCGCATTTATACATTTTATTCTAATGCACAAACCTTCCATTCTTCTACCCTTAATTTGAATCGCGCTGTCGGTTACTTCGAACGTTGTAAATTTCAAAAAACGAGTTGCTTCACCCGACATTTAAAATAGAAAAGTCCTAAACGTCAACACCGCTCGATGCCGACACATACCTTTTTAAAAGTAAATATTCTCGCTTCTTGTCCGGGTTAACGCTTCCCCACGCCATCGGCCAACGTTGGGCTACATCGGAAAATTTTTAAAGATAATCCACGTACTGAACTTGTGTAAAAATTTTGACAAAAGTGAAATAAATGCGTCAAAATAAGAAAAAATGGCCGGTGCAAACTAAGAACCTTTTATATTGTAATTTTTCTTTTATAAAAATTAAATAATCGAAAAAGCCAATTTTCACTCTAAACGATTTCCAAATTCTACATTCGAAGCGATTGCAAATTTAAAATAAAACCGAATCTACCACATTTAATGCATTAATTAAGCGATGTTTATTAAAATCGATTCGGCTACTCTTCACCAATAAAAAAATGGCTCTGAAAAGAGCCGTTTGATCGCTAGATTACGGGAATCTAGCAATTCCGTTTCCGGTTCCGGTCGAAAATTATCGTTCTATCGGCGCCCCATTCTCTTTCTACTGCCAATAATCTTTCTACCAGATTTTCCCTTTCTTTCTCTTTTTTTACTCCTTCCTATGATTTTCGATTTGGATCTTCTTCTCTTGGCATTCGATCTCTTCCGAGGTGATGTGCGCCCTTCAGTTAAATAATAATAAACCTGGACAATAATATGATGAATTTGTTATTTCAGGAATTGTATTTAATAACAGATATTATATGTTTTTCAATAACATTTCAAGATAATGAATGTCATAACGAAATAAATAAAAATATGACTTTATTCTCTTGATGTTTAATATCTCAGATATGTAACAGAGTAAAATGAGTTAGGTTAGATAAGTGTTTTAAAACAATAATTATATGTTGCTTTTAAACAGAAACACGTACTTTTAGAGATTTGTTAACATTTCCTTCATTATGTTTTATTTCATACTTTGCAGATAAATCAACAAAATTTAATAAAAATTTGGAAAATTATAGACAGTGATGAATAGCAACTATATTAACTTTGATTTGTACCAAGAAAACACAAAATATACAAAAACAATTCACTTTATTAACAATGTAACAAGATAATATAATAATGAAACAAGATAATATAACAATGTAACAAGATAATATAACAATGAACAGTAATATAATATAACAATAAATAAATGTACAGTAGTATAATTTAACAATAAATAAATGGCAGAAAATGGAGGAGCGGAAACATCTCCCAGGAACCACAGCTGTAAGAGAAAACATTGTTTTGTACATTATGCAAAATTTATCCACAAAACTAAAACAGAATTATATCAATTTATGCACTTACCTCTGTGCTAGCAGCGATGTTTTATGAGGCAGTTTGCATGCACCCCCTTTCCACAACGTGCACAGGCTTTTGTGGTGGTCTTTTGTGCTTTGAGGTGCTGCACACAATGCACCTGTAAGCTGTTTTTCCTGGGAGCTTGCGGAGACCTGCTGGTCCTCGGGGTTTCGGAGGACGTACAGCTTCCCGCTCCTCCATCCATTCTCTCCCCAGGCTTTCAACTACCGCCTCGATAAAACTGACGTGAGAGAGTCGTCTTTGACTTCCGGAATAATTTTCAGTGTATAGTATGTAGGCATTCAACATCATCCTGGCTATGATGTTGAATGCTACTTTTTTCCAATATTTTTTAGTCCTCCTTTCATCTAAGTATGTGTTTAACATCATATCGAAGGTATCAATCCCACCCATGAATTTATTATAGCTAGAAACTACTTCGGGCATTAATTTAGCTCCCTCGCGCCTATCAATTTGGTTGTCGCGAGCCCCTGCATGGCTAGATAAAAGAATAACCGGTTTATATTGGGGTTGTGATTTTTTATCCCGGAAGCCACACGCCAGTATAGGCCCAGATCTGAAGTACCTTATCTGGCCTACTGTGAATTTGCTATTTTTTAATCTTAGCGGTAGTTCTTTCCTGTTTTTTCGTACTGTGCCAGTACAGTAAGTACCCTGGGAATATAGGTGGCGAATAAGGGGTACCGACGTATAAAAATTATCCATGAATACATGGTAGGCCTTGTTGTTGTAATCTCCCATGTCCAGTAACTGACATACGACAGTATATGCCAGGCCAAACTTTGAAGCGATGCGCTTCTCCGCCTGGAATTTGGCCCCTTTATAAGTGAAGAATCCCAGGCAGTAGTGCGAAATGGAGTCGCACATCACCCAAAGTTTGACCCCCCATTGATGATGATTTTTTTCTCGCATAAACTGACGCATGACAGAACGGCACTTAGTACCTACCATAGATTCATCGACACATATTTCCTGGTGTGGAATATAATACTGCCGGAACACCTTATTCGCATGATCTTCCAGTGGTTGATATTTTGCACTTGGATCATAACCTAATTCCCTTGGGCCAGGCAACTTACTGTTATCTACGAGATGGAAGAATCGTAGCAAGTGAGAAAAGCGGTGCTTAGTAAACATTCTCCCAAACCACGGAATATTTTGGGAGTCAGAAGTGGACCAGTATGACGCGATGCTAGATTTTTTATTTAGTCCCATATTCAGGATGAATGCCAAAAACCCCTTTATTTCCTCAACAGTTACTGGTTGCCACTTCTTGAGATATTGGGGCACATTCCCTCCCATGCCATTTATCACTTGCTGGGCATACCTATTTGTTTCTGTCGCCATAAGGGATAGCAAAGACATAGTGAAAAAAAGGTGAAAATACTGGATAGGGTGAGAATCAGGTAAAGGCATGTGCAGGGGGCCAGATTGTTCTAGGAAAGGGAAAGGATCAGGCAGAGATTGTTCTGGTGGCAGAACCTCAAGATACCCCTCATCTTCCAACTCGTCAGGAAAAGCCTGATGAGAGCAACTTGCTCCAGTGGAGCCACTTGCTCCAGTGGGGCCACTTTCCTCTTCCGAATCAGATGAGTATTCAGACGATGTGTAATACATATCATGATCAGTGTCCGACTCAGCTGGAAGCTCCTTGTCGGACAGCTGATCTAAATAGGTGGTCATATCTTCTTCCATCATTTTTAATTTTTTTGAAGATGATGCCATTTTAATCTATGAATATGAAACAAACAATGAAAAATTTTAAGATTAAAATGTCTTATTAATGACTTGTAAATAATAACAATATTTTATACTTTGAAAAATATAAATGAAATAAAAAGTATTTATAGAAAAAAAAAGTTACCTGATATTGAAATAATGAAGATATTTGAATACAAATAATAACTAATAATTGAAATTGAATGAAATCTGAAATGAAAAATTTTAAATGTCTTATTAATGACTTGTAAATAATAACAATATTTTATACTTTGAAAAATATAAATGAAATAAAAAGTATTTATAGAAAAAAAAAGTTACCTGATATTGAAATAATGAAGATATTTGAATACAAATAATAACTAATAATTGAAATTGAATGAAATCTGAAATGAAAAATTTTAAATGTCTTATTAATGACTTGTAAATAATAACAATATTTTATACTTTGAAAAATATAAATGAAATAAAAAGTATTTATAGAAAAAAAAAGTTACCTGATATTGAAATAATGAAGATATTTGAATACAAATAATAACTAATAATTGAAATTGAATGAAATCTGAAATGAAAAATTTTAAATGTCTTATTAATGACTTGTAAATAATAACAATATTTTATACTTTGAAAAATATAAATGAAATAAAAAGTATTTATAGAAAAAAAAAGTTACCTGATATTGAAATAATGAAGATATTTGAATACAAATAATAACTAATAATTGAAATCTGAATGAAATCTGAAAAGAAAAATTTTAAATGTCTTATTAATGACTTGTAAATAATAACAATATTTTATACTTTGAAAAATATAATTAACTGGCTTTATTCAAAACTGAAAGATAAGGTATTTTGTTTTTACTGCTATTTATGTCATAATCAATTGTCAAGATCATCTTTAGCATTAGTAAATGGTGTTTGTGACTGGAAGCACCTTGGAACTTGCTTTATTGTGACATTAACTATCTTTCAATTTCAAAAAGTACAATATTTTAAAGAATTTTATGATTTATTTTTAATGATGATAAATTAAAATATCTGGAATTAAAGCACATTTTCTATTTTGTTTCTTATGGATTAAGAATATTCTCTAATTTTGTTTTTCTGGCTGTAGTTATGTATTTTCATTAATAGGATTTTGCATATTACCTAAAGATGATTCAAGACCTTATCAGATTTTAAAGCAATGAAAGAGAATTTGCATAACTTGTAAATATATACAATACAGATCTACAATTTCTAGATCTTATTAGGTTTTGAGGTAGCTGATTTATAGTGCACATATTTCAGTTTTTTCTCTAATGAATTATCAATTGATTTGTTAATTTGGGTTTTGTTGAATTGCTTAAGTATTAGCAAAAACATAAAATATGTACCTATAGGATTGTAGAAATCTGTGGTGATTCTTATTGTTATATTCTAAGTTTGATATCTTTATATTGATAGAAAATGTACTTGATCTTTAGAATTATAATTTATAAAATTGTTTAAAATTACTCATTTAAAATACCATTAATGTCGTATTGAAAATTAGTAGCAGTGCCTAAAAACAAATAATAATTTGAAGAAAGATACTCTTAGAAAAGAGAAGCATATTTGTTCATGAGAAGAAAGGGAAATCTGTAGTTTTAGCTTTCAAAATATTACATTAATTTGTGTTTGGAGTATCAGGAAAAATGCACAATAATGTTAATAATAATAATAAATTAATTAAATTCTGTGAAGACAGTCAGATTTGATTTAGACAAAATTATAACAGTATTAGAAGAACTAAATGACGTGACAGAAGTGAGGCGCTAGCACCTACAGTCGCCACCAGAGGGCCTCCCGTCGATGACGTGAGCGTTTCGTCAGACGACCGCGCTTATTCGACCTGCCACGACACAGTTCAGGTGTGTTCGACAAGAGCTCCGCTACTTACGACTAAACAAAGGATTGTAGTGCCAATCGACCATCGTCCACGTTGGTGCCTACATTGGTGACCCGAACATTAAAACTCATCGNTATGAATTTTTAAAAAATATTTTGACTTGAAGATTGTTTTGGGTAACTTAGAATTTAATATTGCTATATAGTTAGAAAATAGTATAGAAAAACAGCAGTTTTATGTTCACTGAAATTTTCCAAAGGTATTATGAATATTATTAGCATATAATTACTCTGATCAATAATTTATTGCTGAGGAGCGTCGAAGTGACTGGTGACTTTTTATTTTACTCTCTTCAATTAAATTCTATCTCAATATGTATAGATAATTAAATGTGTATTCATACATTTAATTCTCTATACTGAAATAGAAAATCCTGAGATAATCCAAATGTTATTGTTAATAGCGAATTCTGGTCCATTACAGAAAACTCCTATGAAACGAGGTAGACAATCCATTCACCGTTCTAACCAGCTTATCAATAATGCTAAACCTTTGGAAGGAGAAAAAAATTTGATTACTACCTATGTGGAGTCAAGAAAAACTGATTCGCCTACTTCACAAGGTGAGAAATTTACTTCAATTTTTTCGTCGGATAATTTAAATACTGAAATCTTGTACACTGAAACTACAGCCTTATGGTCAAAGGTTGTTGATTTAATTACCACTTGTAACGAAAAATTAGGACATCAATTTGATTATATTTTAAAAGAAATTAGGTGTACATAATGAAATTGCTGAATTTAAAAAATAACTCCAATTAATTAACAAAAGAAATGAAAAGACAGACCAAGAAATATATAAACTCAAGATTAATAAAGAGCAAATGCAATTTAAAATTGATTCACTTAATAATAATAAACTATTAATTTATGATTATTCAAAATCATTTACAGATGTAAATCATAAAGATGTGCTTAATTTTCTGAATCACTCCTTAAATATACATTGGATTATGGATGAAAACATAAAATCTATATATAACATTCCCAATGATAAAATTAATATTAAATGTATTATCTTAAAATCTGATCAATTAAGAAATAATATAATTTCATCCTTTAATAAACTAAAACAAGATTTACAATTCACATTCACAATTACAATTTGCTTTCACCAAAACCAAAGGAACAGAATTGGCAATTTTTTTACTTTCATCAATAATTCAAGTTTATTTACAAAGAAAAAGAAAGAAAATATTTACTGTCTTTATTGATATATCTAAAGCATTTGATTCCATATACATTCCTACCCTAATAAACAAATTAAAACACTACAGCGCTGGAATTAAATTTTCTGACTCTATAAAACACCTGTTTTCATCATATAAAATCAATATTGTTTATAATAATCAGGCATATCCAGAGTTAAACTTAAATCGTGGAATTTTACAAGGAGAACTGCTTTCTCCATACCTCTTCAATTTATATATAAATGAAATAGATAACCTCTTTTCAACAGATACAGAAGGTATCATTATTGATGGCTGATCTTTCCATCACATTCTATATGCTGATGATCTGGTGTTACTGGCTCCTACACATATAGCACTACAACCTAAGCTTACCAAAGTGAATAATTATATAAACTCCATTTATCTTACGATTAATACAACAAAATCTACAATAATCATCTTCAGAAATAGCATTAAAATATCCAAACTTGAGAAATCCTTTTATCTACATGTATCACCTCTTGAAGTAGTCAACAATATAAAATATCTAGGAATCATTTTTAATTGGAATAGCAGATTTAATCTACACTTGGACCATCTAAAGATAAAATAAACTTATTAATAATACCGTTTACTTATGTTCAAATTTGAAAATTTCAGATTTAAAACTCCATATGAAAATTTTCCATACGTTAATATTACCAGCAATTTTTTATGCAAGTCCAGTATGAACACTCAATCAATTTCATGACTTGGAGAAATTTCATATCATTTATTTATGCAAATTATTTAAATTGGAATGTACAGTACTAGGATATGTCATAATATCCGAAACAAGCAGACTTCAATTATTTCCTTTTTTTTCTAAAACAACTAATTAAATTTTTTTTATCATTTACTAAATTTCATTGATGATAATATAAAATTTCTATATAATACTAGCTGTTACCCGCGACTTCGTCAGCGGAGGTTTTGCAAGCAAACCCCATTTACATCCAATATTTCAATAACCATAGTAATTGTTATATAACACCTACCGCTGAAGAGAATTGCCGAAAATCAAACGAACTATTTTCAATTTGATCAATTTTCTGAAACGTTTACAATCGTTCTATAATCGAACCAATACGCAANAAATCAAAGATTTGTTCTGTACGGAAACAACAAAATAAATTAGTTACATACAATGAAAAACTCTTCTACAGACAAATTAATACCAAATGCACTACTGATTTCCAACACAATGGCATGCCAACTGAAGAACTCACAAATTATTGGTCTTTTCTTTGGTCTACTGCTGTTATGCTGTTATGCACAATGCTGATGCAGGCTGGATCAAAGAGGAGAGCAGACATGCAGGACACCTAGTATGAATTGTGTTGAAATAAAGGAATAAGACATTCATAGCACAATGCAGAAAGTACATGATTGGACAACACATGGTGTAGACAATATTCACAATTTCTGGTACAAAAAACTTACATCCCTGCACCAGGAACTAGCTAAACATTTAACTCATATCATCAACAATCCACAAGACATGCCAGATTTTCTCAGCAGGGTATAACCCACATGAAACCAAAAAACAACAATGCTAAAGATCAAAGATTGCACAGTACAGATTAATTACATGTCTTCTAACACTTTTCAATATTCTTATCTCTGGCATTGCAAACAAAATATAGTCTTATTGATGAACACGACATTTTTGCAGAACAATAAAAAAAGGCTGCTGTAGAAATCAAAGGTTGCAAAGAATAACTACTTATTGACTCTGTTATCCTACAGCAAGTTCATAAGCAACACAAGTATAAAAATGGCATAATTGATTACAGAAAAGCATTTTACAGTGTCCCACACACTTTGCATCTACAAAATCCATCTCCGTCTATTGTTTCATTTGTTTTACAATGCTCCACTGGAGAACAGCATTTCATCTTAACCTTCACAACACTCCAGATAAAAACAAATCAAATATACATCAAGTGAGGAATTTTTAAAGGATATTCCTTGAGTCTTCTTGCACTTAACCTGTTATCTAACACATTGAACAAAACACAATATGGTTATAATATCAGATGCAACAAAACAACATTGTTCACATTGTCACACCTTATATATACATGGACAATAAGAAACTTTATGCATCCATACAGAATCAGCTTTATCATCTCTTACAAACTACCACACACACACACACACACACAAATGATGTACAAATGGAGTTTGGTCTAGACCAGGGATGGCAAACCTATGGCACGCGTGCCCAAAGTGGCACGTAAGGAGAAATCATCTGGCACGTAATGTATCATACGATTTCTGTATCATCTTTTCGGTTTATCACCCGATCATCCTTTTTTTAATCAGCTTTTTTACTTTTTTACAATCTAATTAAAGTGCATTCGTTTAATTTCTTTAAATATCGTTATTCAAAGTCTGAAACTTTGGCATGCATAAACATCTTTAAAGCTAAGTATGCTTACAATATAATTGTATACTTGCTTACTGGAGAATTCAACTTAAAAATAAAAAACCATTTAACTATCCAGCATAATTCTTTAATAACATAAAAACATTTTCAAATGCATTGAGCGTTCATCATCAGTTATTTTATCAGAATTTCCCGTTTCGAATTAGAGAAATAACTGATGATGAATGCTCAATGTGTTTGAAAACGTTTTTATGTTATTAAAGAATTATGCTGGATAGTTAAATGGTTTTTTATTTTTAAAATGCTTACAATATGGCATGCAAACATAAAAAGGTTCGCCATCCCTGGTCTAGACCAATGGTTCCCAAATTTATTATGCTCATGGACTCCTTCTCATAGCAAAAACCTGACTACAAACTCCAAATGAAATAACTCTACACAACTACATAACAGCAAAATTACAAATTTAACTTTGATGTCTTGAATGATGAATAGTGATTTAAAAATAAAATATAAATGAAACATTTTGATATTTAATTAATTAAAGTAATATTTATTGAAATTACTAGCTAAAGCTTGCCTGATTTGAAAAATGAGTATAATATAGTGAAAACAAAAAAAACATGTATAATTTATTTCTAATTGGGTAATAAATTACATTAAAAAATATATAAAATTAGTAAGCTTTTTATTTTATCTATTGAATTTTCATACAAAAATATTTCTGATCGAAATGAAAATAATATGAAATGAATTTATTGAGTTACTTTCTCAAAATATCAAATAAAGTTAAACATTTTTTAACAGAATTAAAATTTATTTTATCTATTGAATTTTCATAGAAAAACATTTCTGATCGAAATGAAAATAATATGAAATGAATTTATTGAGTTACTTTCTCAAAATATCAAATAAAGTTAAACATTTTTTAAAATATTATATACTATATCCTTTTGTATGAATTCATAAATAATACTTGTAATATGTTTTATAAAAACAAAATTATTCACACTGCAAAACTAAAATTTGCGTACAAATTTCTATAACAGTATTTATATACTATCACAAATGAAAAATTTAATGCAGAGATTTAATCCCGAGTCTTGCATGTATTAATTAATATATTTAATTATATATTTAATATTTTAATATACAATACAGTATAAAGAAAAAACTAGCAAAAAAAGAAACACAGATGTTTACTAAAGAAGAAAATATATATGCTTTACCTTTTATCAAAGTAAGAAAATGGATGCAATCGCAATCAGAACTAACCAACTCGGAACGAACGAAACNTCCAATGGGGCCACTTCCCTCTTCTGATTCAGATCAGGAATCAGATGACATGTAATACGTATCTTGATCAGTGTCTGACTCAGCTGGAAGCTCCACGTCGGACAGCTGATCCAAATAGGTGGTCATATCCTCTTCCACCATTTTTAATTTTTTTGATGATGATGCCATTTTTATCTATGAATATGAAACAAACAATGAAAAATTTTAAGATTTAAAATGCTTTATTAATGACTTGTAAATAATAACAACATTTTATACTTTGAAAAATATAATTGAAAGAAAAGGTATTTATAGAAAAAAATGTTACCTGGTATTGATGAAGATATTGGAATACAAATAATAACTGGATTTTATTACAAAATTGAAATTTGAAATGAAAAATTATAAATGTCTCATTAATGTCTTGTATAATAACAATATTTTATACTTTGAAAAATATAATTAACTCACTTTATTCAAAACTGAAAGATGAGGTATTTTGTTTTTACTGCTATTTATGTCATAATCAATTGTCAAGTTCATCTTTAGCATTAGTAAATGGTGTTTGTGACTGGAAGCACCTTGGAACTCACTTAAATGAACATGAATTATCATTGCCACACCAAGAATCACTTAAAGATTTTATGGAGCTAAAAACAGGTTGCAAAAAGAACAAACAATTGACGATTTTCATCAAAGACTATTAAATTTAGATGCATAACAAGTTCTTAAAAGTGTTATATTTGTATACAATATTTAGCTAAAAACAACGATGCACTTTGTGGAACGAATTAGACAATTTTTGCAAAAAATATTGGTAAATTATAAGGTTTAATTTAATTGATTTTAAAATATGATGCAAGAATGGCAGAACACACAAGACGTATCAAAGATAAAGAAACATATGATCATTATTTCGGTTGGAAAATTCAAAAGGAGATGATGATTAATCTGTTTGCAAACAAAAGTTAAAAATGAAATAATAAAAAGTAAATATAAATATTATGCAGTATATCCTGTTAATGTAACTTCATGTAATGAAAATTTTGTTTTATATATTATGTGGGAGTAGCCAAGGGTATAAGCAAATTACCTATATCACTTACTGGCGCACGATCATGTGATAGGCTCTCTAAACTTTTTATAGGAGGGCGATAATTGCTATATGATCCGAACGGTGAAGTTCGTATGCTCGTCAGGTTCCCGACACCAGTTTGTCAATTTTCTCGTTGCGCGGACAAACACGCGTATGAGATCTGATTCGGAATCAATTTAAGAGACATTTAAGTAAATTTAACAAGAGTAAATTTAATAATTCAAAAACAAAACGAATACAAATAATCGATGAACGACAATTAAGCGACAAGATATAGGCAAAGACTTATTCTATGCTGATGCGCAATCGAGAGAGAGAGCTCACAAAATCATTTTAAAACATATGACCTGTTTAGTTGTCGTCGTTCGTCTACTTCTCTGTAGGTATGGGATACCTTGTAGATAGAGTTCATTTACTTCTTCGTATGGGAGATCGATACGTGCACAAAAAAAAGTATCTTCACTAAGTTTAGACTCGGAACTTAGTCTACGGGACTCGTTTAAGGGCGTTGGTCATCAGGAGGAGAACTGTGTGGAGTTTGACGCTCAGGATCTGTCGAAGAACTCCTTGAATTTGGACTAATTTCCCCTTATATCTCTTGAATTTCGACCAATCATCGGCCAGTAACTCTCTCATGAGAACGGACGAAAGGGGGATGAATGAGGGGTAATTATTTCCCATCTAAGTGAGATTTTTAACCAGATAAGGGAAAGTCAGAGGATGTTCTCTTCTGTGAAAGGAAGTAGCATCTGTTATCTGGTTTTTTCCCATGTTCAAAACACTAGTTTTTCACAAAAATGAAGTAATATTTTGTGTCGATAATTTAATATTATCAATAAAAATTATTAAATGTGACCCAGGGCCTTTCGGGTCTCACAATTATTTTAAAACTTAAAAAGAGCAAATTTTACTATTTGATATAAAAATTTATGACTAAATATATAATATGTAATCTACTATCAAGAGGTAAAATNCCATCCTCGTCGACAATTATAAAACCAAATTTTCCATCTCCTTTCCATATTTCATTGTTAACTTTAAAATAACGTAAAACAATAGGGAAATTATCAGGAATATCGAAAGAAAAATTATTTACTGCAGCAATACATGTATCCAAAGACTTGTACAAACGAGGAGAAACAGAATAATTTCTATCGCCGTCGTAAGTAATAATAAAACCATATGTCTCCATGATTGCAACTTTCAATCTCGGTATTAAAAATAAATTCTAATGTTCCTTAAAACTATATTTATATAAAAAAACCAGCCAATCATATTTCTTCTATAAAATAATTCATAATCAAAATAAAAATTAGTTCATAAAGTGAATTAGAAAATATAATTAATTTTTAAAAACATTTTAATAATTAAACTTATTGTTAAAATAAAATTAATTTAATTTAAATTTAATAATTAATACAGCCTTATTGTTACAATAAAATTAAGATTTGTGATCAAAAAATTACTTTTGTGATCTGAAATAATTTCATTCAACAAATTTTTATTTGCAATTTTAATTTATTCGATAGTAATTTACTCAAAAAATTAATTTTGTGATCAGTATGTGTCAAACCACTACTACTATTGATGCATGACAGAACGGCACTTAGTACCTACCATAGATTCATCGATGCATATTTCCTGATGTGGAATATAATACTGCCAGAACACCTTATTTGCATGATCTTTCAGTGGTTTATCTCCTCGATGTGGGTTCCTGTCTGTGGTGAGGGGACCTCCCAGAGATGGTTTAGTAACTCTTCTTAACCATCCCTGGNATTTCTTTCTAGGAAAACCCTCTACTAATTTTTTTAAAATAATTATATTATAATATTAAAGTCAGAATCTTGTATGTACTACAATTATTTATAATGTTGATTGGTGAGACTATTTTTGTGATAACAATCCACAAAAAAATTTTTTTTACGAGTGTTATGTCACTATTAAATTCCAAAAGCTAGGTCCCCTACGAGGCTGTTTGAGAAGGCCATCCACAACATTGCTGCCGAATGATTGAAGGGTTACAAGTTTTCTACCACCAATTCTGCTGATTTTGTGGAGTTGTTATGGCGGATTGAGGTTGGTGAGGACCCGCACTTCACGGTCATGGATTTTGTGTTTCTTTTCCCTTCGATAAGGCTGCAGCCATGCTTCTGCGCTCTTAGGGACCTGCTACTGCGGGAGAATGATGCACTTTGGCACCGTGAGCAAATATTGGAGCTGGCGCATCTTATGTGCTACACTTCGGTCTTCCAGTTCAACGAGGCCACTTATTTACAAAGACGAGGTGTCCCCATGGGCAGCTTGCTTTCGGNGGGGGATCCTGGTAGTTGAGGGACAACATAACGTCCCCAACACACTGCTTTGGCCTTTGCTTCGGATAAACGGGAGGCTCAAATCAGGCTCTGTTTGAGTCAATCGGCTGGTCGTTGAGTCATTCTTGACCTCGGCTTGGAGTCAACTGATTGATGCAGAGCGGGTGGACGCGTCCCTGCTGTACAGTTTTGTTTTGTCAGTTCAGATGTGCTTTTCTTGACTGCATTGTGAAGGTATAGCTCCTGGGAAACCCTGGTGTGACGGTCTATGGGAGTCTCCCATGTGACGACATCCCCTTGTTGGGCCCCATGGAGGGTGGGGTCACTAGGAGCTGAATATTTATTTTTCAATATGGACCCAAAAACCATAAAACAACAAAGACCAGATCAAGTACCAAGAAACAAGGAAAACAATTTCAGTCAACCTACTTACCTGATAATACACGCAACTGGAGAAAAACATTTATAGAAATGCTCTTTTTTCCTAATACAAAAACTGTTTGAATCAACTATTGGACACCTGAAAAAAATTCAAAAATTGAGATCGGGAGATTTACTGATAGAAACAGCCTCACCTCAACAGTCGGCAAAACTCTTAACAATAAAGACACTGGGAGACATGGAAGTGACTGTCACACCACACGGAAGGTTAAATTCATCTCGTGGTGTGATATCTGAAGAAGAGTCAGAAATTAAGATTGGCCTTTCAGACCAAGGTGTCACTGCTGTTTAACGTATCTCCATTCGTCGAGATGGCAAATTGATACCAACCAAACATCTTATCCTCACATTTAACAAGCCGACATTGCCATCTTTCATTACTGCAAGATACCTGCGCTGTCCAGTTAGTCCATATGTTCCATACCCACTACGTCGTTTCAAATGCCTGCGGTTTGGACATTCACAGACATCCTGTCAAGGGAAGAATGTATGTGCACAGTGTGGAATGGAAGGTCACCAGAGCACTGAGTGTACCACTACTCCATGCTGTGTGAATTGCAAAGATGGACACCTTGCCTACTCTAACAAATGCCCTGCATGGCAGACAGAAAAAGAAATTCAGCGTGTAAAAACAGTCAACAACTTACCTTATCCAGAGGCACGTCGTATGGTCACTTCAAGTGCATCACTAAAACAAAAAACATATGGAGTTCAAACCAATATTTCTGTTTCCCCAAAGGTATCCCTCACCAGGCATGCGAAATGTTTACTGATTACATCAAAAGAAACACCAGAAAAGGAGAGTATAAAACCAAAAACACTCCTACCTAAAGCAGGGGTAATAACAAGGAACCTGGGTTCTAAAAAGGCTAGTAAGAACACACTAAACAAACAGAGAGTAAAAGCGGCTCTCTCTAAATGTAAAAAATCAGAGGCTCACTCTATGAGTGAGTTTTCTGATATCTCTGATGAAGAGACTAATCAGGAGGTGACAAAACCAATATCACCTCCAAAAGAAAAATTCCCGGTTAGATTAAAGAGAGATGCTCTCACAAAGAATGTCACCTCAAACACATAATGGGTTATAAAATAATTTAATGGAACTGTCGTGGTTTCCGCAACAATTTCTCTGAAATTAAACACTTGACATCCTCTAATTCATTAATCTGTGTGGCACTCCAGGAAACCCATTTGAAACCTGGAGAAAGAATTACTTTAAAAGGATTCAATCTGTACCGCAAGAATGATGATAGCCACAACCGTGCCAGTGGCGGTGTGGTTATTTTGGTTTCAAATTGCATTCCATCCTTATTGGTACAAATAACAACAGAGCTGCAAGCTGTGGCAGTCAGAATTTCAATTGGCGTAACTGTCACAGTTTGTTCTATATACTTGCCACCAGATGTCAGAGTCAATGCGAATGAACTGGATGCCTTGGTTGAACAGCTGCCAACACCATTACTTTTACTTGGTGATTGTAATGGTCATAATCCTATGTGGGGCAGTCCTGACATTAATAGTCTAGGCAGGGCCATTGAGAGATTTATAGGTAATCAGCAATTGTATCTATTTAATACTGGAGAAGTAACATACTTCCATGCCTTATCAAGAACATTCACTGCCATTGATCTATCATTAGCAACTTTGAATCTGTTTTCAGCATTTTCATGGGAGTTTTGGATCTAATTTAATCTCTAGCGACTACTTCCCAATATTTCTAAAATATCAAGGCAGAGAAAGCTGTGAAACAGCCCGTCCCCCACGCTGGAAACTTGAAACGGCAGATTGGCCTGCATTTTCCTCTTTGGCTGACATAACTGAGGAAATGGTCAATACTGCTGATATCAATGATGCAGTTGAAGTTGTTACTATGTGTATTATTCAGGAAGCCGAAAAAACGATGGGAAAGACATCAACTAGATACCCAAAGCATCCGAAACCATGGTGGGACCAGAATTGCGAGGTAGCATTTAAAGCACAAAAGAATGTATGAGGGATTTTCAGAAGATACCCCACTACTAGAAACTTGATAGCTTTTCAAAAAGCGAAGGCAAATGCCAGAAAAATAAGAAGGCAAAGCCAAAGGGATTCTTGGAGGTAGTATGTATCTAGCATAACATCTTTCACTAGCTCAAAAGCAGTCTGGGATAAAATCCACAAAATTAATGGGAAATATGCTTTTAATTCTCTGTCCATGCTGGAAAATAATGGCACAACAATCAGCGATATACAGGGTATTGCTGATTTATTAGGTGAAACATTTTCTGCTTCATCCAGCAATATTATGCATTCAAGGAATTTTCAGGTTTATAAAGCTAAAAGAGAAAAACAGTGTTTAACCCCTTTTTGTAGACATAGTTCAGACTAAGTATGTATTAGAAATTCTCACTCTTTTTTATTATTGTGTAAAAAAATTTATAATTTATTTATTATATTTATAAATTGTTAATTTTTGTAAGTGTTGAAGTTGCCTCCTAAATGGTTCCTTTTCCTCATGGATAAACAACTTTACAGGGGCAACGCCTGCGATTCATGCTTTCCTGTAGAAGTTCACTACATTGCTACATGTAGAAGATCATTATTTTTCCACTTATTCATGTATAAACATATTGAATTATATAATACAGTAGAACCTCGAAAACTCGGCCTAATGTGGACCGAAGGGTGGCCGAGTTTGTGAAAATGCCGGGTTATCGGGAATGGGGTTAAAAAA